CCACAGGGAGATATATCTCTCTTACCATTTTTCAAAAGCTTTTACTATGACAAACTATCTCACATCACAAACTGCTTCTCCGCCCTCACACATTTCTGGGTGCTGGCCAGTGATGATCCTCTTGTGTTCCTGGTCTGTAGGAATTCTGGCATTTCTGAAGCTGCTGTTTTTGGGCCCCTAGAACAATCTGGGCAAGGAAAGCTTAGCACTTAGCTACTTTTGCCATTCAGCTTAGCCGAATGATTCTCACTGGAATCCAGGAGACTACCTTATTCTTGGCATCCATCTGTCTCAAGCAACAATGGAGTGTTCTGGGGGTGAAGTCAAACTGCTGCAGTAGCAGCCCCAAAGTGGCCTCCCCAGGGTCAAACCTGGACAGTGTGTACAGAGGTCCTGGGCTGCCCAGATGACAAGACCATTGGCCTTGCTGATGTGGTCCAAAAGAAAGCAGAACAATACATTTGGCACCAGCTTGGCTGCAGGAGTTGCCGGAAGGAAGTGTACAAGGCACCATCCAACTGTCTTAGGGATTCCACTCTGGATCTTCTTAGGGTTTACTTCTTAGCCTTTTCTTCTCCCAAGACATCCCACAAGGGACCAGAGTTTTCCTTCTACTAGATGGGCTCCCTTCCCAGGTGGACAAGCCCCATCTGCCCCTCACTTCCCTCTACAGCAGAGCTTTCCAAACTTTTCATGTTGGTGACATAGACATGCATCATTTTGTGACACAGTAATTCTGTTTTCCTAGCAAACCAGAGCAAACTCACCCCTTTCCAGCCCCAGGAGGAGCACCTGGAGTGTTTGTGTGACACACTTACACACAGTTTGGAAAGCTCTTCTCTACAGCATGTGCAGAAACTACCTGGACCCACTATTGGTCTCGCCCACTCAGTCTGCATAATACTTTAAACCTCTGGCAGACTGGCAGCAGTGTGGTGCCCTCAATAGTTTTGTAGACTACAATTCCCATCATCAGTTTGTCCGACAGAGGCAGTATTCACACCATACATTTAAGAGCTATCATGCCATGGCTTGCCCCAGAGAATCCTGGGAGCTGCAGTTGTGGAGGGTGCTGAGAGTTGTTAGGAGACACCTATTCCCCGCACAGACCTACAGTTCCCAGAGTGGCTTAACAATCAATTCTTCTTCCCAAACACAAAAACTTCCCCTGTGATAAGTCCAGGAGCCATTTACTACCTGATGACTTGTCTAGGCTGAGCCTAAAAACAGATACGGAAAGGTGCATGCAGACTGCGCTGTTTATTCAGAGTTCATTGCTTTTTACATTGTTAAAAAGTTGGGAAGGAAAAGCTACTAAGCATTTATGAGTTTCTGATGCTAATGAGTGGGCCCTTTCTGCTGAGGTAATGAAACCTGAGTGAGCTCCTCATCACTGTGTCCTAAATTGGAACAAAAGGAATTGCACTGCAAATTACACATTGATTTCCTTTTGTATCTTGAAAGTGCTAGGTATTACTGATCAATATGAGTTGGCAGTCATTGCTTTTAATTGCTGTGGACTCATTTCTTTCAGGGGAGGAATAACTAGCTCCCCCCCCCCCATTCGTCAGGGCAAGCTTCCTTCCATATTTGAAATATTTATTCTCGTTTTTTATATAGCCATGAAGATTTCTACCTTGCTGATCCTGTTCTTCCATCAAAATGAATGTGTCTTCTGTTTTCCTGTGGCCACGTTCGCACTGTACATATAAAACGCTATGATACCACCTTAAACAGTCAAGGCTTCCCCCAAAGAATTCTGGGTACTGTAGTTCGTTAAGGGTGTTCAGAGTTGTTAGGAAATGCCCCTATTCTCCTCACAGAGCTACAATTCCCAAAGGGATTGACTGTTAAATCACTCTGGGAATTGTAGCGTGGTGAGGGATTAGGGTTCTCCTAGCCACTCTCAGCACCTTTAACAAACTACAGCACCCAGAATTATTTTGGGGAAGTTATGACCATTTAAATTAAATAATAATATTTAAATTGTGCAGGAGATTATTGCTTTTGTTACTATGTTATGTGTTTTTGTGTTTTTATATTGTAAACCGCCCTGTGATTCTTTGGTGAAGTGCAGAATAGAAATTTAATAAAGAATATAGTGTATCATGGTATCATACACAGCACACCCTCCAACATTTCTCTGATGAAAATAGGGATGTCCTATTCCACAGTAATAATAATAATATTACTATTTATACACTGCCGATCTGACTGGGTTGGCCCAGCCACTCTGGGCAGCTACCAACATATATAAAAATATAATGAACTATTAATCATTAAAAAACTTCCCTATCCAGGGCTGCCTTCAGATGGCTCAGCGGTTGGGTACCATACCCTCCAGCATTTCACCGATGAAAATAGGAACGTCCTAAGGAAAAGGGGGACATTCTGGGATCGAATCAGAAACTGGGATGGCTTCTGTAAATCTGGGACTGTCCCTGGATAATAGGGGCACTTGGAGGGTCTGACATGGTGCTTGGTGTGAATCCTAGAGCCCTCTTTCTGGTTGGCACCTTGGGCTAGGGGAGGATTAAACCTTGTGCCAAATAGTCACTCACATAGTGACCTGGCTTAACTTCTTAACATGGCCGTAGTTCAGTTGTGTTGCAGCTGTCCGGTGTGTTGCTTGGTTAGATCATTTATAACAGGAGTGGGCAGCTTGTGGACCTCAGCCTAATTTCAAAAGCCATCTGCCCGTCTTCCCAGCAGCCCTTGGCATGGAGAGGAGGAGCGCTTTGCCCCCACCCACTGTTGTCTTCTGCCCTGCTCACCATGTGACCCTCAGCAGATTACCCCCAAGGGAATGCAGCACTCCGAAGCACCCAGTTGCACCCAACATTGGGGGGGGGGGGGTCACATGTGCATGACGTCGTATCTGCTACGCCCCCCCCAACCCAGCCAGACCAACTCGGACCGCCATCCCCCCGTCCCCACCAGCTCCTTATCTTTGTGAAAGGGACATGGCAGGGTAAAGAGATTGCCAGTGTACCCTCTGGGGAGGTGCTCTGGCAATTGGCGAAGGGAGGCTCTGGGTGCAGACACTTTGCCCTTCCGTGTCCCTGGTCATCTTCAAAAGGACCCAGCAGGGTGAAGTTTCCTTACCTTGGCGCTTGCTTTTGAGGATTGCTGTGGAATTGAGGGGGGGCGGGGAGGCTCCCTTATCAAAAATATTAGGGGGGTCTGCCCCCAGATGGCGCTACTAGTGGCCCTTGACCACACGGGGAAATTTGCCCTTTTCTGACCTGTCCTGTGTGTATATGTAGGAAGCAGCCCTGCGCCTCAACCTGTGTCCTGTTGTCATGAGGTAGGCAGGGCAGTCTCTGATGAGGCCCTTCCTGTGGTTGACTTTTAGAGCCAGCCTGTACAGTGGTACCTCAGGTTACATACGCTTCAGGTTACATATGCTTCAGGTTACAGACTCCGCTAACCCAGAAATAGTACCTTGGGTTAAGAACTTTGCTTAGGATGAGAACAGAAATCGTGCTCCGGCGGCGCGGCAGCAGCGGGAGGCCCCATTAGCTAAAGTGGTGCTTCAGGTTAAGAACAGTTTCAGGTTAAGAACAGACCTCCGGAACGAATTAAGTACTTAACCCGAGGTACCACTGTATGAAATAAGGGAGGATTGACTACAAGCCTGAAGGAGAGTCAAGGGGCAGGTCACTTTGAAAGACATGTTATATGGAACAGTAACTAGAAGTCTAATTAGTATTCTCTGTTGAGAGGTGCAGATTATTCCCTTTTTAATCACATTTATAGTGACAAATCAATATTGCCTGAAATGGCACTTTTAACTGCTTGATTTAATATGAACGCTCACTAACAATCTCATCATTATTACGATGGGCAAATGGTTGTTTTCAGAGCAGTGACATTTTTTGCAACTTCCATTTAATGTGCTGCTTTTCCCAAGCTTCCAATGATCCTGATTCCTCCCTCTGGCCCTGGTTGGCTCTCAGCCTCTTTATGGCCTTCACAGTTTCCTTTGTAATGCACCAGCAATTTGTCCAATAGGCCCTTCCATGTGTGGTGCACCTCTGCCCCTGCAGTCTAGATTCTGTTCTCAAGAGACTTGCTGAACAGTTGAATTGCTTGGGGGGGGGCACTCAGTTGGAGGAGACTGCAGTACATCCTAAAATGCACCCCACACTCTTTGACAACTGCAGATTTGCAGGGGAAGATTCATGGGGGGGGGGCAAGCTGCTTTTCACAGAAGCTTGATTTTCATTTTTGCTTCTTGTGCTGAGGTGTCCCGGGGACCCAGAGTACTCTAGAATAGAAAAGTCCCTGGATTAGACCATCTAAATCTACCTTTTCCCCTTTTTGTTACAATGTGGATTATTTAATGGCATTTCAACACGGCTTGACATCCAGCAAAGTTGTTGCAGTAAGATTTCTAGCTTTCGATGGGATAATTTATGAGTCTTGTGCTCCACTCCACCCTAGGTAATGGTAAAGGGACCCCAGACCATTAGGTCCAGTCGTGACCAACTCTGGGGTTGCGGCACTCATCTCGCTTTATTGGCCGAGGGAGCCGGCGTACAGCTTCCAGGTCATGTGGCCAGCATGACTAAGCCGCTTCTGGCGAACCAGAGCAGCACACGGAAATGCCGTTTACCTTCCCGCCGGAGTGGTACCTATTTATCTACTTGCACTTTGAGGTGCTTTCGAACTGCTAGGTTGGCAGGAGCAGGGACCAAGCAACGGGAGCTCACCCCGTCGCGGGGATTCGAACCGCCGACCTTCCAATCGGCAAGCCCTAGGCTCTGTGGTTTACACCACAGTGCCACCCGCGTCCCCCACTCCACCCTACCTGGCATATATATATATATATATATATATATATATATCTGTTTCTGTACACCCCAGTAGTATTATTTTTTTGATTTCCTACTGCTAACCTTTTGATTAAACAATGACTGTTGTTGGTGTCTGATTTCTTCTTTGGACTCTTGCCTGCAGGTGTTCCTCAGACATGATTGTCATGTGAGTTGTCAGCCATGGCGAGCAGGAAATGTCAAACCACCACAGCCAGCATGCTGGATCACCGGGCGAGAGCTTCCCCGCCTTTGCCTCAGGGTAGGGAGGCTGAAAATGAGGGTGATAACTTGCCTGTGGAGGACTATGTGGAGAAGGAGACGGAGGTTGCGGCTGCCAGGGAAGGCACCCCTACGCTGGCCGAGCACGAGTGTCTCGACCACAGCGGAGATGGCGACTCCAGTTCTGATTATGTCAACAACACTTCCGAAGAGGAGGATTACGATGAGGGGCTCCCGGAGGAAGAAGAAGGGATTACTTACTATATCCGATACTGCCCAGAGGATGACGGTTACCTGGAAGGGATGGACTGCAGTGGGGAAGAGTATGTCCCCCATGAAGAACATCCAGTGGAGACGGATGAGTGCCAGGAAGCTGTGGAGGAAGCGGAGTGGTCCGACATGAAAATGCAGCACCGGGATGAATGCGAAGCCACAGAAGCCCCGGGCCACCACGAGGGCTGCGTCCAGGTTTTGGAAGGGGAGGTGGCCTGCCTGGAGATCCAAGACCAAGAAGAGAACCTCCAGTATTGCCATCCAAGCGAAGAGCGCTACCAGGGTTACTACTCGCCTGAAGCAAATGGGAATCCCCACGGGATGTCTCCTTACCACTCTGGGAAAGAAGAGGCCGAGCTAGAAGAACAGGAGGAAGACATCGACCAGATCGTTGCAGAGATTAAGATGAGCATGAGCATGAGCAGCATCAACAGCGCCTCGGAGATGAGCCCGGAGCATGGAGGGACTGAAAACGTGCCAAATGACTATGCAGAGACTTGTCCAAAGGGAGAGTCTGGCCACAGCTCCAACAGGCATCTGGGAAGGCCAAAATCATTGAACATCCCCACTGCATCAAAGCAAGTGGGAGATGTACCCAGAGGCTTCAAAACCAAGTCAAGAACCCCCGAGGAAAGACAGACGTGGCCACAAGAACAGGTGAGTTGTTGACTCTCTTCTTTTGCTAAGGGGGACATTTTGTTGTTGGCATCTGTCCAAGGCAATGGAAGAGTGTGGCTTTGGGGGTGAAGTCATACATATACATATACATACAAATACGCATAGGATCTTGTATATTAACAGTCCATACCTATGAAGTATGTGCTTTGCTCTCTTCATTCTCCAGCATAGGTGGGAAAGGCAGTGTTGGAAAGCTGAGAGAGATGGTAAGGTGATAGGTCTGGGAAATTGCACAGACTGACCCAGAAGAAAAGCTTTTCAAATGACCCTTCTCCTCCTAGGAACCTCATGGGGTTGGACTCAGGGGAGCCATTAGCGCCCTTTTCATGTCAGCATCTCCCCCACCAATCTCCAGCCTCCTCTCAGCCCTATCTGCATGTCCAGCAGCCAAGGTTAATTAGGCCTGAAATCAAAGGGCTATAGGCACTCTGCCTGATACAGACATTTATTTACATTATTTCATTTCACTTGGTCACAAAGGGGGTTTAGACAACAATCCATCCATCCATCCATCAGAATTGCAGGCCTACATTTTACCTTTTTGTGATCTGTCATTTTAATGTTTGTTTTCTATTGCTTGTAATTGATGTACACAACCCTGATATTTTATGAGGGCAGGGTATAAATACCTTTACAAATAAACGAATGAATGCCATGTTTAAAATATCCTCTTGACAGTGCTGCAGTTGTCAGGATTTTGGCTTGATTGATTGATTGCAAGTTTAACCTACCGTTTTATCCAAGGAGCTCAAGGTGGCATATGTGGTTCTCTCCCTCCTTGTTTAATCCCCACAACAACCCTGTGAAGTAGGCTAGGCTGAGAGGCTGCAACTGGCCAAAGGTCACCCAATGGGCTTCATGGCCAAGTGGGGATTTGAACCCCTGTCTCCAAGGTCCTAGTCTGACATGGCATTGACATTTGGCAAGCCAAGAGATGGCATTTACTGAATAGGCACCCTGATTATAGAATTCCCTCCCCTCTCAAAACCCTCTCAGTTTTGCCTGACACCAGGTCTTTGAGCATTTGCTGGCAATTGAAGGCTTCTTTATTCACCCAGGAATATAGTTGGAGTTTGGTCACACACGGGTGTGCTCTCTGCTTTTTTTCAGTACCAGCACCTCTTTTTGTTGTTGTTAAAAAGTGTGGCACGTACTGTTAACAACTTCATGGTTGGTACCGGCACCTATTTTTCTAGAAAATAAACACTGGGTGTGCTGATTCTGTTCATGTTGTGCTCTTCTGTTGCGTTGTATTGACATTGCACCCTGTTTGGGAACTCCTAGTAGTGAAAAGCAGCTAACAAAATTTACAAATAAAACAAAATAAAATAAAACGGTCTTTGGGGAGCCTAAACTCTCCTCTTGGTTGCAGCCTTATTCTTTGTGTCTGCCTCCGGAGTCAGGCTCTGTATCTGCCAGTGTCCTTTTTGGGATCAGGGTCTGCTGTGACCCTGCCTGGCACAAGTTCCTCTCTCAGCCTTTGATTCCCAGAGGGCAATGGGTCATCAAGGGGTGGGGATAGTAGTGGTTTCTCGATTTCCTGTTTTGAACACTCAACAAATGGTAGCAGCAGGGTCCACGTGGAGCATGATATTTGCTTTCTGCTGCATTTGCCACTATAATATTTTTAAATGGTTTCTCTCCACAAAGCACCAGTCATTCAAAAGCCATAATTTCCAGGCCACACTTTTAGAAATGTCTGTTGGTACATAAGGGTTAGAGATGACAGCCCACTCAGTCATACTCAGAGTAGACCCTTTAAAATCAGTGGACTCAAGCTGTCAAACTCCACTGATTTGCTGCCAAAGTTGGAGACAGTAATGCTTCTGAATGCCAGTTTCTGGAAATGGCGGGAGGGGAGGGGGCTCTTCTCTTTGCAGGTTTCCCTCAGGCACCTGCTTTATCTGTAAGCTGCTTTGAGTCCTTTTCAGGGAAAAAGGTGGAGTATAAATAAATATATAATATAATGATAATAATAATATGTCACGGACTGGCTGGATGCAGAGGAGTGGTGGGAGGCCACAGCTGGGGAGCCCCCAAGGGAACTCCCCAAGGAAGAAGTCTCAGAGCCAGGGGAGTGGTGGTGGGATGACGATGAGTGGTCAGAAGGAGAAGAAGGAGCAGACGGAGGAGGAGGTGTTGGAAGCAGAAGAGGTGACAGGGTTTAGTGAGCAGGAAGAGGCTGTGGCAGAGAGAAGTTCAGACTCTGAGGCTTAGCGGAGGCTGGAGGGGAGGGTGGCAAGAGGCAAAGTTGAGACAGGCTTCTGAAGAATCCAGAGAGTCTTCCCTTCCTGCTGTGACCAGCTCCCCTCCCTACTGGTCTTCTAGAACACAAAGAGAAATGAAAGGATTGGTTGTGACTGGGGTATGGAAAGCAAGCCTTATGGGGAAAGGTTGAGGGAGTTGGGTATGGTTCTAAAAAGCTTTAATCTTCCAACATTCAGCTTCATTGAATTCCCATGACTTCTAGTGTTAGAGTTCTACCGTTCCTATTGTTAGACAATTGGGAGACAGAAACCCTTTGCTGATCACCTAGAGCTCTACCAGCCCTGATTTACAGTTCTTGTGTTAAAAACAGTTATTAGATTTTTTAAAAAGAGTGTTGCTCAGTTTATTGAGAATGCTTTTAAAAAGTTCTAGACCTGAGAAAGTGCTAAAAGGAGAAAGTGCTAAAAGAGCCAGTGTGGTGTAGTGGTTAAGAGCGGTAGTCTCGTAATCTGGGGAACCGGGTTCGCGTCTCCGCTCCTCCACATGCAGCTGCTGGGTGACCTTGGGCTAGTCACACTTCTCTGAAGTCTCTCAGCCCCACTCACCTCACAGAGTGTTTGTTGCGGGGGAGGAAGGGAAAGGAGAATGTTAGCCGCTTTGAGACTCCTTAAAGGGAGTGAAAGGCGGGATATCAAATCCAAACTCTAAAAGGGACTTTCCCTAATCTGGTGCCTTCCAGATAAATTGGACTACGTCTTCTGTCAGCTCCAGCCAGCATGGCCAGGACTGAGGGGAGCTGTTGTCAAAATCACCTGGAGTGCACCAGGTTGGAGAAGGCTGATCTAGAAGGTCACTCATGTTCTAGTATGAGTGATGAATTATTATTGTAATTTAATCCTGGAATCCTAGAATCGTAGAGTTGGAAGGGACCCTGAGGGCCATCTAGTCCAACTCCTCTCCAATACAGGAATTTCAACTAAGCCATCCAACCTGTTATGTCTTCTGCGCATGGCAGTCTGTCTATTAGCGAGACCTAGGAGATGCACCCTGAGCAGGGGAACACTGCTTCTTCCTAAGCTTTATAAACTAGACTAGCTCATTAGCTGAAACAGCTTGAGGTGCAGCTGCCATCTGATGCATTGCTGGGCAGCTATGTGGGCTGCAGAATCTGTTCCTGTCTCCTACTTTGACAGCAAGCATTTTAGTTATATCGATGTGTTAATTTTTCTATAAATGCATTAACTTTTAAGTAGGAGGAATCTAGGACAGTCTTCACCACCCTAGTGCCCTCCAGACATTTTGGCGGCTCCTCCCAGGAGAGCACAAGGCTGATCTAAGACAACACAGTACTTTGACAATGCCTTAAAAAAATTATACTGTGAATTAGTGTCTGTTGTCAAGTGCCACAGCTCAGTGGTAGAACATCTGCTTAAGGACACAAGAAGAGTCTGCTGGATCGGGCCAGTGGCCCAACTTGTCCAGCATTGTGTTCTCACAGTGGCCAACCAGATGCCCAAGGGAGGCATGCAAGCAGCATCTGAGCGCAAGAGCATCCATTCTCCTGTCCTGTGTTTTCCAACAGCTGCCATTCAGAGGCCTTCGCCCTCTGACATTGTCATACTGGTTAGAGGCCATCAGTAGTCTTCACCAGGAATTAGTCTAATCCTCTATGGAAGTAGTCCAAGTTTGTGGCCATCCCTGCCTCCTTTGGGAGCAGATTCCCTCTCTTGACTAGGAAGAAGTGCTTTCTTTTTGTCTGTCCCGAATCCTCCAGCTTCATTGGATGTCCATGTCTTATGAGTGGGAGAAAAACTTTTCACTATCCATATCATGCACACTTTTTATAAACTTCTGTCATGTTGCCTCTTGCTCTCCTTTTTTTCTAAACTGAATGCTCCAAATTGCTGCAGGCTTTGCTCACAGGGGAGTTTCTTCATCCCTTGCTTTGATCATTTTGGTGGCCCTTTTCTGGACCTTTTCCAACTCTACAATATCCTTTCTGAGGTGTTGTGACCAGAACCGCACACATTATTCCAGATACAGTTGCATCATCTACTTGTATAATGGCATTATGATATTGGTGGTTTTCTTTTCTATTCCTTTCCTCATGATCCCTACCTCTTAAGAACATTATGGAAGGAAGGAAGGAAGGGAATGAACATGCTTCACAGCCCCACATCACCCTCCTTTTGTGAAGAATGGGGGCAGGCCAAACACCAGCACCCTCTGTGTCTCTCCCCACCACCCTCCAACTTGCAGAGGTCAAATGCCTCAAGTGGGGAACCCCCTCTACTTGTGAAGGGTCCTCACGCATTTAGAAATCCACACAACTGGGGTTCTAAATGAGGTGGAGAGCCTCCCCCTGGAGTGGAGCAGCTCCCTCCCCAGCTTCAGATCTTTGCACTCCATGAGTTGGGGAGCAGAAATTAGTGCACTGCGTCAGCTTTGAATACAAGCAGAACACTTGGATGGGACTCCTGATTCACAGTACCAGGTGCCCTTGCATGGGGGGGGGGGAGCCTCCCTTTTTCATCCCAGAATCCCAGGCTGGATCCTCAGTCACAGAGAGGGAAAGCAGAAGAGGAGGGTACTGTCTCATCACTCTCGCCTTTGCTTGCAATTAATTCTCCACCCCCTTTTAGCAACGAGATAATCTATCGCTATCTTTGGGACAAGTTCTCATCTGGAACATTAATTTTTGATTGGAACGAACAAGGGAACACACACAAAAAATGCCCCGGAGAGTGAGACATATATCCTATTTGCAAATAGAGCTGTTTATGGCTAGCTTGCATATGGGACTTTTACAATGTGACAGCATCAGCTGGTAACAGTGTTCCAACATCAGTGGTGACATTTCCACATGCAAAAGCAGGGGAGATAATTAGATCTATTCTTAAAAGTAGGTTGGGGTAAGGGACTGTTGGCATTGAAATTCTGTGTGTTAAGCAGCCCTGGTTTGTAACAATTGCATTGCATCTTAGGCTCTGCATATGTTGACCAGCGATTATCTTGTATTGGAGGAAGAGTGTTGTTCAGTGACAGAGAAATGGTATTGCATGCAGTTGGTTCCAGGTTCCATCCTTAGCATCTCCTATGTGATTGGAACACCTTAGAGCAGCCTTTCCCAACCAGCTGTCCTCCAGATGTTTTGGATTGCAGCTCCTGTCAGCTTCAGCCAGAACACTCAATGGTCAGGGATAATAGGAGTTGCCATTCAAAACATCTGGAGGGCACCGGATGGAAGAAGTATTCCCTAGAAAGTCACTGCCTGTCAGTTCAGACAATACTGTGTGTCCATGATGAGTCCCTGGTGTGGGAGCTGGAACTCGAGTTGGTGTGTAAGGCGCATAAATCAAGCAGAATATAAAATTTGTAGATGTAAACCTTCAGTTTTAGACCTGTTGTATGGCACTTGTCATCCTCCGAAGTATGTCAATCATAGCAGCGCAATATCTGGAGATTGAATATATTATATCAGGGTTTCTATTTTGGAGCAGTAAAGAGATATAGAATTGCCCTGTGAAATTTGTGTATTATTGGCACAATAAACCTGTCACGTATGACTGTATAGTATTGGCAATGGAAAGACATGTGTTCCATTGTTTCTATATGCTCAGAGCCACAGGGGCAGACCACAGCCCTCTCCACCTGGTGCCTGAACTACAACTCCCATTAGCCCCAACCAGCATGGCCAGTGCTCAGGGATGATGGGAGCCACAATTCATTAGCGTCTGAAAGCTACAGGCTGCTCACCACCATGATAAACCCCTACGTGCTGAATCATTACTTGAGGGAGAAACAAGCTCATTTACTGACCATGTCTGAGACATGCTGTCTAAATCGGGTGCTGTTCTAACCCATTTTGTATGTGGGCATGTCTGGGCTACGGACGCATTTCTTGTGCTGCCAAATGAATTGTGATCAGACCTGACAAGGCCTTTAAAGGGTAGAAGAAGCTGTGGTTCTGCCGTTTCACATCACAGGCCCAATATCTGTCCTGTCACTCTTGTTTGAAAATTGTTTCCCACCCCCACAGCCATCCTGCTTTTCTGCCAAAGCTTTTCTGATTTAATCCTGGCAGCTCCCAAAATAATTTACATGTTATTTGGCAGTGTTGCAATCTTCTATGTGCTGGTTCCCTTGTGTTAGTGTGTGTCCATATGTCAATGCATATCTTACTTTTAGTGTAATGGTGCAGTTGTGATTGGGTTTCTCACAACTGTCTTTTATAGGCCTTAACGGAATTCTGAAAACGGCCATCTGCTGTGGTGGCTGAGTCCTATCCAACTCAGGATAGCTCTGTTCTGCTTCCTCAGCCGGTGGCAGCCGTGCTTCTGAATACCAGTTGCTGGAAGCCCCTGGAGGGGAGGGGTCTCTTCTGCTCATGTGCTGCTTGCTGGCTTCCCACAGGTTAACTGGGTGGCCACAGTGAGAACAGGAGGGTGGGCTAGATGCGCCATTGACCTGACCTAGCAGGTTTTTCATATGTTTTTAGAGTGCTCCTCATGGAGAGAGTTATACAATCTCTTTCCCTGCCACCCCCGCCACCCCTTGGATGCAGAAGAAAGCCATGGATTGCGTCCCTTTTCACATAGGTGTCTGCATTTTCCATGGCCTTGATATTCCACCACCCAGACAATAAACGTGTGCCATTCTGGAACCTGGAATTGTTATAGGTGCCACAAAATACCCATTTTCCGCATTTGTATGAAAGCAATATTTTGGTGTGGCAGCATCTATACTTTGGAACTCCCTGCCTATTGACACCGGGCCAGCACCTTCTCTGTACTCTTTCAGTGCCTGCTAAAAACATTTTAGTTTAGAGAAGCCTACCCAGACATGTAGACAGTGGCAGAGCTTCATGCTCCAGCACCGGGGGCAGAGAGCAGGCGGGGGGCTGGCTGGCAGGCATGCATCCTGGGGTGTGGCATGCCGCCCACAGGGGTGTGGCGCGTGTCCCGGAGCATGGTGCGCCGCCCACAGGGGCGTGGCACGACGCCCAATGTGCGGTGGGGGCAGCCATAATGGCACCCCACCAGGATCGTGGTGCCGGGGGCGGTGAACTCCCCCCGCCCCCCTCTTCCTCTGCCAGTGCGTGTAGAATATTGATAACATACTGGTACTTTAACCAGTTTTTCGCTTGTTGATTTTTAAAAAATGTTGCAAATAGTTGGTTTTTAAGTGTTTTTACTAATAATTTTATTGTCTTATTCTCTTTGTAAACCACCTTGAGGTTTTTATTTGTTTTTGTTTTTACAATCAAGTGATGCATAATTCCCCCCCCATAAATGAATAAATAAATAACTCGGGATTTAAACCCAGCAAAAAACCAACCATCTTGAGAGATATTTTATATCTTCTACATTCTTTTAATATGCTCACAAACAGTCAATGGATGGATCAGCCCTTATTTCCACAGTAGCAGCAATGCAGATTATGGGTAGCAGGCAGTGATAGAACGATGCTGCCTTGATCTCCTTCTCCCTGAGCTGTTGATCAGTTCGGTCTTTCTGCTTCTTTTACAGGTATGCAACGGGTTAGATCAGCCTCGGAAACAGCAGCGTTCTGACCTCAATGGACCGATCAACAATAATAATATGCCAGAGGCAAGTACTAGAGGCCAAGGTGCTCTGTTTCCCCTGTCCTGTCTCCATCTTGTATTTCACGTCATGCTTCTCTCTTCCAAAGCCGTGAACCCAGTTAACCCAGAAATTCAGTGGCTAAAAGATACTCTTCGTGGCAGCCCTGAAATCATGGGCCAAGAGAATGTGATTGTTTTAACTGTATCTGGAGTGTTTTTCATGGCATTGTTATCAATGTGCTGACTGACCTGAGCTCCTTTGGGAGGAAGGGTTATGTGGAAATAGCAATAATAATAATAATAGTAGTAGTAGTAGTAGTAGTAATGATGATGATGATAACAACATGCTTACAGCAGGGGTGGCCCACCTGTGCCCCCCCAGGTGGTGTTGGACTGGCCCCAGCCAGCATGATCAGTGGTGAAGGGTGATAAGAGACATCTGTGGGGCTGGAGGCTGGCCCTTTGTGGTTTGTTTAGGCTGACATTTAAGGTGAGACATTTAGGGTTAAACTCAGAGAATGTTTTCTCAGAGGTGTGTGGAGGTGTCAGTTGTACACACAAACACATGAGTCTGTCCATAATACTAATTTGTGACAATATAAGCATGGCCTGCCCCCAGATGAGATTTGAGACTGTGCCAGGTTTGGGTTTTTTAAAAAACAGGAATGACACTTGGGCGTTCTGACGCTGATGAGACTTTTCAGAAGCGTGTTGTTCTGAGCTGCAAGCATGCCGGGGAAGTGATGACAGTTTTAAAGAAAATACCCTATTTTTTGCTCTATGAGACTCACTTTTTCCCTTCTAAAAAGTAAGGGGAAATGTGTGTGCGTCTTATGGAGCGAATGCAGGCTGCACAGCTATCACAGAAGCCAGAACAGCAAGAGGGATTGCTGCTTTCACTGCGCAGCGATCCCTCTTGCTGTTCTGGCTTCTGAGATTCAGAATATTTTTTTTCTTGTTTTCCTCCTCCAAAAACTAGGTGCGTCTTGTGGTCTGGTGCGTCTTATAGAGCGAAAAATACGGTACATCCATAAAAACAGTGCTAACCAGCAGATTGTACAAGATTAATTTGCATGTGGAGTTGAGCCATGTTCAATAACGCAGAGATTACTTTTTAAGAGGGGTGCTGCTGCTTTTAATCAAGAACACATAATTGTTATGTTGCCAAGCCCTTAACAACTTCTTAATTGTTCACCTTGACCACGCCTAAGAAGCTTCTTCTACTCCTTCCTGCTTCCATGCAGAGGAAACAAACCATAATCTCTGGCTTGGCATTTCATCTAAACTTTGGACTGCGGTGGGTTTCACTCCCAACAAACCGCAGTCAGTAAGGGAAAAAATGAATCTTGTTTGTTTGGAGAGAGACTAACCATGACCCCCTGGTATGAATGTAATGCTAAGCCAGAGATCATGGTATTCTCCCTGCCCAGGGGATGGGAATAGCAGAGCTATCACTTATTGTGATGTGTGAATCAGGCCAATGTCATGTAAGGTAAAGGTAAAGGTATCCCTGCCCATACGGGCCAGTCTTGCCAGACTCTAGGGTTGTGCGCTCATCTCACTCTATAGGCCGGGAGCCAGCGCTGTCTGCAGACACTTCCGGGTCACGTGGCCAGCGTGACAGCTGCATCTGGCGAGCCAGCGCAGCACACAGAACACCGTTTACCTTTCTGCTGGTAAGCGGTCCCTATTTATCTACTTGCACCCGGGGTGCTTTCGAACTGCTAGGTTGGCAGGCGCTGGGACCGAACGACAGGAGCGCACCCCGCCGCGGGGATTCAAACCGCCGACCATGTGATCGGCAAGTCCTAGGCGCTGAGGTTTTACCCACAGCGCCACCCGCGTCATGTAGTCGCCTAAAATTACGGTAATTATGATGAAAAATGAATGAAAAATGCTTCTGTTCTTCCTTCGCGTCATGTGCATGCATTTTTCATCATAAACATCTTACTATTTCTATAGAGTTATAAGCTCTTTATTTTTATATCCACACAGACAAAGAAGGTGTCCTCCTTCCCAAGCTTTGTTGATGGTAAGTGCATCTTCACGGGATTCCTAATGTTTATAACATTAAGACTGCAGGGGTGGGGATGGGGAATCCTGACTTATCGAGAGATGATTTATCACGTGCCATGAGATTTATGAGACTTGGGGGCAGCTGTGTCTCCTTCCTGAGACAACCCTGCATTCTACAGCGAGAGAAGGGGAGGGATTGAGAAACCTTTGCAGCTTGAGGGCCACATTTCCAAAAGTGCAGCCTGCCAGGGGCCACATGCCAGAGGGGTCGGAGTCAAAATTGGGCAGAGCAACAGATGTGACTTTTGAGTGGCTGGAACATGGCCTCTTATCGTTAAAAGCTGGGAGATTTCTGTGCTTACATAGAAGGGAAGTGAGTCGCTTTATTGTTTAATCCAGGGTTGGAGAGCCTGTTGATTCCAGCTCCCATCAGCCCCAGCCCCCTTGGCCAGTGAACAGCCATGACGGGAGTTAGTAGTCCCACAAACTGGAGGTCCAGCCCAGCTTTCTCCAACCTGCCAATCTTGTTACCAAGCCCCAAATATATGCTTGATTTTTGCACCCCAGTTTAGAGGCTTGAAATGAACTAGATGGTCAACAGCTGATTTCCCTATATGGCTTAGACCAGTAGTTCCCAACCTTTTTTTGGCCATGCCCCACCTAAGCATCTCTAAAATCCTGATGCCAACCCCACCCCCATGACATAGAATTCTTATTATTCAAAGTGAACTCCTATTCACATGGAGGAAGCCTAAATTTCACTATTAATAACTCATTCACAATTTGTCCCCCTTAAAAATTGAATTGCCCCCCTGTGGGGCATGTGTCCTACGTTGGGAGCCACGGGCTTAGACTGAATACTGTTAAGAAACTGTGCTTATGTCTTTTAGAGATGGCATTTCTTTTTTTGCTTCCAGCCATTTGGAGAGTACACCAGATTATGAGAGTCCCGTTAATAGAAATCAGTGCAATTTCTATTTTACAGGCTAAATAAACTGGCATTTGGAAGTCTCCCACAGCAAAGCATATTATGCAGACTTATTTGTATGGTTCTAGCACCCCTCTGACTTTGGGACTTTTAATTAGTATACTAATAATTGGTGCTGATGGCCGACCTAATGAAATTAAACTTCTTTGTATGATTGATCTTCACTGAGAATCTTGTTGACAGCAGAGGGTGCAAGGTCCACTTAGTTGTGCCTCATTTGTCCTTTTCTGAGGCTGACATTATGGCTGCTTCTTGTCTTCCATTAAATCTGACTGAGAGAGAAACCAGCTCTTGTTGACGGGTTGTGCATGCAAAAGAAGGCAGAGCTGGCACAGAGTAGAGAGCGCCCTACAGTGCCCTCCTACACGTGTCTACTCAGGAGTCAGCCAGTGACTCACTGCCAGTTAGGTGTGTGTTGAATTTCAGCCATGTGTGTGTGTTTGTGTGTTTCACCCCCCCCCAACTAACAGGTTTTATTTATGACAAAAGTGATATAAGCTTTTTATCAGAGACTGAATTGTCCCTGGAATATTTTCTTCTAATGCGGCTAAGTCTATAAAAGCAAGGCTATGTATGGTGCTTCAATGTGTAAGAGAGCAATCCGATGCATGTCTACTCAGATGTAAGCACAGCTGAATTCATTTGGACTTACTAGCAGTAAGCGTGCAAAGCATAGCAGCTATATTTGAATAAAAAACATAGATACATTCATCTGATCCTGTTGGGTTCTTTTACACTTTGTCATGTATAACCTGTATGTATTAACTAGGATTGTAGGTCTTGCCTTAATTCAAGCAACTGAGCCCTCTTGAAAGATCAACCCTAAATCCTCCCACCCCCACCCCCCATTTTTGCTCCAGGGAGAGAGTAGCTGCTTTGCATGCAGAAGTGATGTCACCTGCAACAACTATTAGAGGGACAAATCTTTGTCTGAGTCCCCAGAGAGCTGCTACCAGTCAAAATAGAGTAGGCCAGCCAACATGATGCCTTCCAGATATTATGCAACTGCAGCTCCTATCCTCCTGGTGCTGAATGGGAATTGGAGTTCAACAGCATCGGAGGGGCACCACGTTGCCTACCCATGGAGTAGACAGCGCAGGGCTAGATGGAGAGATAATCTGACATGGTTCAAGGCATCTTTCTTCATTGCTTTATTGCCATAGAACTTCGTAAAAGGATTGTTGTAGCCCAGATCATCTGGCAGGCACCAGGCTGGTGAGGGTTGTGTCAGCTATGCCTCCACTGTCCCAGCAGTCTCCTGTCCAGATAACCTCCCCTCCCCTGCCCACATTCATTACATGGAGAGACAATGCTCTGCTTCTAGTATTGGGTCAATTATTGCACTCATTTTGGCTTTAAAACAGGAGAAACTCAGTCTTATTGGTCATTCTCTCTGCCCTTTGAGGCTCCAGCTGGAAGTATGTCTTTTGATTCGCCACATCCCCCTTGACGGCTGATTTATCAGTCTTTTCAGCCCTTCAGTTTTCAGTCTCTTCCTCCATTTCTCTGAACAGCTTCCAGCTCCAGCTGCAGTGAACCTGTTCAGAGCTTCTGTTTCTGTCACCACATTGCTAAAGGGAGGGAAAGTTCTTTCCCTGACACTTGCAACCAGCAAAACCTGGCTAAGGTCTGGAAACATCAGAGATTGCAGGAGACACAGGTGCCTGCAAATCTCAGCACACAAAATAAAAGGTGGCTTGAGATTTCCCAATCTCACCGCTGCACACCCTCCCTTTGAAGAGGATCTGAGTTAATAAGTTAGTCTGGTCAGGAGCCAGAAATGTTATTGTAGCATAAACAAGCAAATATATCATTAAAATGATATGGCAAAAATAAAAAAGCTAAATACACCGAGTGGACTTCAGTGAAACACCATGATGAATCTTCCATCTGTGCGAGCATTTCAGCTTGTCAGATAGAATGGCCCCCTGTCCTCCCCACATCTGCTGTTCTGTGGGGAGGGTTCTCCTGACCCTCCCCCAAGCCAATGTGAGGGAAATGGGGGCACAGGGGGAGGAGAGGGAGAAGACCCATTGTGCGCATGGAAGTTCATTTGCAGAGATTCTGCTGATGGGACTTGTTAGGTGAACGACTAATGCAGTGGTTTTACTCTGAGTAAACATAGCTGGATACAACTCTCTGTTTTTAAAGAATGTAATAATATAAATTTGCATTTTAATAAAACTTTAGAAAATAAATAAGTGCAAGGCGTCAATCATTCCATTTGTAGCCATTTGGCCAAACATATGCATGGTGGGGACCTATTTGCAGAGAGCTGGGGAAAGTGCAGAAAAGAGCAACTGAAAGCAGCAAGGAATTATAGCCCCTTCTCTGTGAGCAAAGACCAGGGCCCTGCAGAGAGTCCCAGCTAACCTCTGCTCTGGAAAGCTAGGACCCTGGGATAATTATTTTACTGCATTTTAAAGTTGTTGTTGTTTTTATTTTAATGAAATCAACAGCAGCAGCATTTTATTATAGTGTTGGTTATGGAACCTTGGGCACTTTGATAGTCTGGCATATCTGGTAATGCAGGATGCAACATTTTAAACAAATGGTGAAATCTTAGAGCTGGTTGGTACAAGGAAGCGCCTCCAAAGCTACCTCTTCTAACTGCTCCCAGATCCAGAGGTTCATCTCCACCAATATATTTCCCCTTCTCGTTTCTCAGAGCAAAGCAGGTTGGCTGGCTCAGCACCAAGGAGAGCTCATTGTGGGCAACATGGGGTGCATTTAAGTGTGAGGGTTATTGTGTTAGTTTCCCTTGTTCTCTGCTGCAAAGACTTGTCCTCCTGTGCTCAGGTCCTGCTTACAAGTTTCCTGCAGGCATCTAGTTAGCCACTGTGAGAACAGGAAGCTGGACTGGATGGGCCATTGGCCCAGTCTTATGTCCCAGAGGGCATGCATTTCACTGCCATTACTTATGAATCACCCCTAGCTGGCCAAGGTTTCTCTACAACCCTTTATTCGCTTTGTATCTGCTTAACTGTCAGGACTGCCCCCAAAGGACCATGGGAAATGGAATTGGGTGACATTTGCAAATCTGAGGACTTTTTGGTAGTTTTTCAAGGGGCAGTTTCCTCCCAGATGGCATGTGGGATGAGGTTTGGCACTGGTGGAACAGTGACTTCAGTCATATTATCACCACCACCCTGCACCCTCTCAAGAACTATGCTATTGGTGTGTGTGCTGGGGGAAGTGTGGTGGCCCCTGTTCCCTCCCCTCCTCCAAATGCCCCAGAATACTGCAAAGGGGCCGTTCTGGGGGGGAAATAGAAGAACATTAGAAAAGCCTGCTTGAAAACATCTCCTGCTTTTAAGTATCCCGCATTTCTTCCTCCCCCCCCCCGCCCCCCTCTTAGCTCAGCCTCAGATTGGGGAGGATGGTGAGAGTTTTCTCTTCCTGACTCACAGCCCTTTCTTTGGGGAGGTGAAATTGCCATTAAAATGGTTTGAAGTTGGTGTTGTTATATCTTGCCGCTAAGTTCTTCTGCTTTACTTTTAATTTTAACACTGCTTTTTGCTTCCTTGTTCCCTGACCCACAAGGGCATGGGCCGAATGCTCTTGTTTAAATATTTGTTGCTGCTGTTGCGCTGTGCTCTTTGCAATTAGCTAGGCATCTACAGCAAAAGGATAGTCTATTGAGGGCAGTGTGTGGAAGTACGGAGTGCTCTTCCTTGCTCCGTTTTGCCTCTCTGCTGCTCTGTCTTAGGAGAGAAATAATTGCCTGCCTTCTGGCTTTTTAGTTCCAGGACCTTGCGAACCCGAAGACCTCATTGATGGCATCATCTTTGCAGCCAATTACTTGGGCTCCACGCAGCTGCTCTCGGAGCGCAACCCCTCCAAAAACATCCGAATGATGCAAGCCCAGGAGGCGGTGAGCCGCGTCAAGGTAGATGTTTTCGATCCATGGAAGAGGACTTGGGATCCCTTGAGGATTGAACTCAGAAGAGTCAGAAACATCTGCTCCTCAGCATCCACAGCAGAGGATTCCCACATGGCTGTGGCAAAACCCTCTCGGCTCCCACCATTGCGTTAATTTCTCTCTCCCTGCTACCCAAACTGTGTGTGCAGCCACTGAGCAGCAGAATATAAATAATGCACAGGTTCTTTCAAAGTTCCCCCAAATCAGAGTAACAGCCAGTTGTGGCTTTCCAGGCTTGTGTCGCAAAAAGCTCAGATAAATGCTTTCGTATCCTTGTATGTTGTGGATATCTTAGTGTTGCTTCATCATTACTTTTGGTGGATGGAGGTGGAAGGGAGTATCTATATTTTTATTTTATTTTTTATTTATATTTTATTCCAGTGGGTTACAGTAAAGTTAATAAGAGAAGAAGAAAGAAGGGAAAAAAGAAAGAGGAAAAAGAAAAAGGATGCATAAACATTTTAAAAGGCAGGGGAAAACAACAGTAACAAAATAATAATAACATATAATAACAATAACAATAATTTACAGAACAATGTAGTATATAGATTAATGAATAAACTTATTGTTTCCCCCAGGTATATGTTGGTCCATGGGTCACTATGGTTTTGATAAATACGTTCTAAATATCATTAAATATGTCCATGCATATGTCCAAGCAACCCATTCATGGGTTGCAAGAGTTGTCGTGTCACCAATCCATTGATTGAAAGGGGCCATATTTTCCCCCTGCAATATATTACTTTCAATCTTTTTGCAGGTATAAGGACAGAGAATGTCTATATAATGAAAAGTTGAAAATAAATGCAGAGGAGAATTACAGATAACCACATGTAAAATCACATCCAACGACATCTTGGCCAATCCATTATTAATTTATTTCATAAGATTTGTACATCGTTTGATTGGTATAAAAAAACCCCTCAAAGTGGGTTACCAAAGTTTTAAACAATAACATTATCAATAAGAAGAATTAACCATTTAAAGCTTTTACAGAATTTAAATCAACAATAAACTGAAAACAGATTAAAATTTGCATCAGCTTTCTGAATACTTGGGTAGACTTGACTAAACAAAAATGGTTTTAGTAGGTTTCAAAAAGAGCAGCGTGAGGGTGTCTGCCTGATATCAATAGGCAGGGAGTTCCAAAGTGCAGGTGTTTCAAGCTCTTACAAATGTGGAACTGGCATCATGTGACACCTGTAACATTAGAAATTATGTTAACATAAGCAAATACAAAAGGCCCGCAATGGAAATTGAGTGGAAAGAGGTGCGTAAAAATAAAATTAATAAGGGGCCAAGCTGAGGGGGCACAACATCAATAAGAAGAATAAGAATAAGAATAATGTTCAACCTAAGCTTACTGCATATTGGCAATAACAGAGTTGGTTAGCTAAATTACCCATTAGGTACAACACTAATGGGGGGAGGGGAGGGGGAAAGCTAGGGAGGGAGGCACATCTGTGAAATTGCCTTACCTGCTGCTCCTAGAAGTTAGTCTGAAACACTCTTGAATCTAAGCACTGCCTCTCTCCCCTGATAGACATGAGGTCTAGGATCCTTGCTCTTTAAGAGGCATGGATGGAACAAAAACTTGTATTATTTATCTTTGATTTTATTGCATTTATATCCCATCTTTTCATCCAAGGAACTCCAAGTGGCGTACATGGTTCTCCCCCTCCTCATTTAATCCCCACAACAACCCTGTGAGGCAGGAAATGCAGAAGGGAAAGCAGCCCTCTCGCCAAAAGGGTTCCCCAGCCCTGGTGCAGACCCACTCCTTCATCTGCCCAGTTCCTGCTGCTTATGCGGGTTCTCTCATTCATTCATTCATTCATTCATTCATTCATTCATTCACCTTTTCTCCCAAGGAGCTCAAGGTGGTGCACAAGGAATTGTCTGTTGTTGCTTGGCTAGTAAGAAGGCTTCTAAATAGCCCACAATAGCTGTATGCGCAAATATCTTAACTTCTATTGGGCTGGTAAAGCATATGCCAATATATCATTGGAGGTTCATTGGAGGCGCTTAAACAGAGGTTGGATGGCTGTCTGTCGGGGAAACTTTAGTGCTGATTCCTGCATTGAAGAGCATTGGACTAGATGACTTTTGGGGTCCCTTCCAGCTCTACAGTTCTATGAAATACAAATCATGAAGATACTTGCAGACATTTGGCATTTTTGTGGTCAAGGCACCTTGCACAGCCCAGTGTTACTAAATCTCAGCATTAAATACAGGTTAAAAGTGTCACTGCTCATTCTCGTTAGAGAAATAGCATTTCCCCCTTTTAATTGCTTTCCCCATTCCGGCTCCTAATGAGTGGTTTGGCTTTCAAGTAAAAAAAAAGAGAAACTGGCAGCCACAAACGAAACTTGATTTGTATTGTGCCAAAGTGCAGCACTGTTTATCAGTTTCAATGCTGTCTGGTTTACTTTGGTAGGCAGTCTCTCAAAGACGGTTGGCTGCTGCTATTTTAATAGCGGCTCAATACTGCATGCAACTCTTCATAAGAAGGGGGCAGCAAAACTATCTTGTTCTTTCTTTTTAATTTATTAAATAGAGTAGAAATTTCTGCCCCAATTGAGTCCTCTTTTCTTGCAATGAGATGTTACTGCATTTGCTGGGTAGCCTGTCTCATTTCAAGGACTCATTTCAATAATCAATTCTTTATTGTGAAAGATAACACTTACAGTCACTTCTACAGCTCTGGAGACATATCCACACCAATCTAGCATCCTGGCAGCTATTCCCAGGTCCACACTCTATGGCGCAGTTGCAGCAACCCGGGACCACTCTCTCTCCACCAGTTTATGTACCTTCCTCTGACAGACAGCACACTCACAACCGGAAGCTGCGCCTGCATGGAAACTTCCTCTGCTCATTCTGGGAGACAGGGGTGCAGAAGGGTGTGGGGGAGCACCTGGCTCTTCACTTACCTGACCAACTCTTCCTCCTCCTCCTCTTCTGGCTCATTCTGTGCTCTACCCTCCAGCTCTGAAGCTTCCCCTGCTTTTGACTCTTGCCTTCTGGCCAAAACAGTACCCCACAATTCACTGTTCCCCCTCTCCAAGTCAGGCTCCAGCCCCGCACCCCTTCCTTGACATCTGATTAAGAGCCTCCTGGAAGGATCTGGCTGACCACCATGTGGATGCTGGACTAAAGGGACCTTTGGTCTGATTTTGTTGTGCTGTTACAAATGTGTACCTGGACTCACATGTGCACAGCCAGCACTCCTGTGAGGTTTCAGTTCTTTTGCTGGAATTATAATGTTCACTTGTTATAGACATGTTTTGACCTTTAAGAAGCTCTCACACAAAGAAATAAAGAAAACTTGGTTTATTATATAAAATAGGAGTGAAAGACTATATAAAAATGCTGCTTTAGACAGCAAAGTTACAGTCTGCTCTGAGTAGGACTAGCCTTGGATATAACCTTATGGTTTACAAGGAGCTATGAGCCTACAACAGCCTTCCCCAATGAGGTGCTCTTCAGAAGCTGTGGAACTCTTGACTCCCACCATCCCTGAACACTGACCAATCTGGCTGGGGGTGATGGGAGCTGGTGTCCAGGCGTCTGGAGGTTGAATGATGACGCCAATGCCAGTTTAAGCTGCCCCAGAAGCATCTGAATTTGTTTTGATATTCTATCTTAATGGAGAATTTATTTTAATATGTATCCCTGCCCCCCACTTTGTTGGCTGCACTGAGGGCCACAGAACTTATCCAAGTCTTGGGTGGTTTTTTTAGGTTAATTTCCTTTGCAAAAGTGGAAGAAAGAGGCACTGATAGAGCACTGATTTGGCATGGGAAAGTTCCCAGGTTCAATCCCTGGCATCTTCAGTTAAAATGATCCTACAGCAGGTGATGGGGAAGATTTCTGTGTGGGACCCTGGAGATCTGTTGTTAGCCCAAGTAGGCACTGCTGGACTAGACGGAATGTGTGGTCTGTGTCAGCTATCTTCTTATGTCTCTGGAGGAGGGGCTGTAGTTATGTGGTGAATCCCGTGCTCTGCATGCAGAAGGTCCCAGGCACAATTCTTGGCATTTCCAGTGTATCTGGGCTGGATAAGGCTCTTCTTGTCTGAGATTTGGAAACCCTTTGCCAGTTGGGCTGGATAGAGCATTGGTGGGACTCCAGTATATGGCAGCTTTCATACATTTGCTTGTATGGCCAATCTGGAGAAAGTTTGAATCTTTTGACATTTGCACAATTTGTTTTTTATAGGATGGAGGGATCTTGTACATTTCCCCCACTTGCTAAAGTCAGAGAAAGAGAGCCCAAAAGGGGAAGGTTTGCAGGAAACTAAGTTTGTGTGGACAGACTGAGAAGGAACTGGGGTTCAGTTTTGCTAAGTGACAAGCTGAGAGGCAACTTGACAAGCGTTTGATAGTATTGGGACTAGCAATGTGATTCTTGACATAAAAGTGGGTGTGGTTTTGACAGGCATGTGGAAGCTGTTCCTGCTTTCGCTCACTAGTCCTAAACTACATTCACCTCTGACCTGATGACACCATTGGGTTATGTGGGCTGGGCTGCAGCAATATCAGAATGATCCAGCTTGGAGGATTAACTCCATGTCCTAGGATACAAAAGCTTGGTTTCTGCATTTGGATATTAGATGGCATGGGATTTGGGGGTTCACTGGAACAGATTGGGGTTGCAACTGCATGTGTAGTATGGAAATATAATCTGCAGCTAAGATCAACAAAATTATGCAGCAGTTTCTGTAACCGATGGATGATACTGACACACATGTACACACATATAAAGACCAGCAACAGCCTTCCTTCCTTTATTTCTGTAGATAATAGGTTTGAGAATCTTTTGATGAAAGATTTCCCTGACTTCACATAATATCTCTTTCTCTCGTTTTCTTTTTGTGCATTTGTCTGTTTCCCTTTTTATTTTTAAATGCTTCTCCCCAGAGGATGCAAAAGGCAGCTAAAATCAAGAAAAAAGCGGTGTGTAGACTGTTTTTCTTGAATGCTATTGTCTGTTTTACATTTGGTTATTTTTGTTGTTTATGTTTTCTGTGGTCTTTGTGCATCCTGGAGTGTTGTGTCTCTCATTGTGGATCTTCGTCAAGCTGTAGCTTTCTGTTTTTGCTCATTTTAAAATGCAGTTGACCAGATGGAGTGGGAAAGATTGGTTGGCTTCATCAGAGACCTTCCCATTTTCGCAGGGTTGGTTGGTTTCATTAGAGAGTTCCCCACTTTCCTGCTAAATAACTCCTCTTTTCCTCTGTGGCTATCCATCCCAGTGAAATGGGTTTTTTTGTGTGTGGGGGGTGATTTTGTTGTTGTTCTTGTTGTTTTGCTAAGCCTGGATAAACATCACATTTTCCTCTTGCAGGAGTTTATTTCCATCTGACATACTTTATTGCTTTTTGGAGGAGAAGCAGCCAAGACTGGTGTTGCAACCCAATATTCATTAATATTTACGATTTATTAGAGCTTATTTTGATACCACTTAATCATTTCTAACCAGTAAACATACACATTTCAAAAAACATACATAATAAAAAACACAGAGAACTTCCTTAAAACATCTGCGGGGATAGAAAAGTCTTTGTTAAGCACCTGAAGTTCAGCAGGGAGGGGACTTGGTTAGTCTCACCTGGGAGGGGGTTTGTAGACTTGAGCCCACATTACTGCATGCACAGCTTATGGTGGATATGGGCTGTACATGGGGAACCAATATATACAACTTCACACCATGCATTTGAAGCACATTCAGTGCACATATATAGCATATCGCTTTTTCCAAAGAATACTGGGAATGGTAGTTTTCCTCTCTCAAAGCTACAACTAATTGCCAGTTTGTTTTGGGGCCCTGTTTAGGGTGTTGGGAGCCATAAATGACTCAAGCCCCAAATATCTGAAAGACTGCCTACAGCACCTTATAGAACTTCCTGCTGAGAAGTTCCTCCACCCTCAGAGGCTCATGGGGTGGCGGACTGGGATGAGGGCCTTCTCTGTGTCAACCCTGTGGCCCTGCCTTCCCACAGAGGTGTGTCTGGCTCCTTGATTTTACAGCTTCTGGTGGATGCTACAAATGAGCCTCTTTGTCCTGACATTTGACACTTGAAGTAGATATTTTTAGGACCCACTTTATTTTTGTGACATTGAATAGTTTTTAATATTGTGTTTTAACGTTGTAATCCACCCTGGGACCTTAGAATGGGTGGTGGGTGGTAATAATAATTCCTGACACCCTTAACAAACTACAGTTTCCAGGATTCTTGCATGAAGACTTGTGGGAACTGTAGTTTACCCCCACAGATCTGCAGTTCCCAGCACCCTTAACATACTGCAGTGCCCAGGATACTTTGGAGAAGACCATGCACTTTAAATGTGCACTGGATGTGCTCTTACATGGTGTGGATCTGCCTTAACAGAGACTCACCCGAAGATACCAGTGATGATTTCATAAGCTCTGACTACACTGCCGTGGTCCAAACTTTTTCTGTCGTAATGTAGATTTGGTGGTGGCAGTCAAATAGCTTATGCCTCAATAATCTCACCGCAGCCCCTTAGGCTGCGTACACATGATACACTCGAAGCACATTCTGAGTGGTGGAACCACAGTTCCCAGCAATTTTCTTTGAGGGAAAGAATGCACTCTAAAGGCATCGTGTGTACATAGCACAAAATGGGGGCCCACCTCAAACTTTTTGTTGGCCTGAGGTGTGTGCTGGACGACAGGAGAAGTCAATATTGCAACATTGCTGAAAGTGTGGGCACGCAACTCTTTGATCAAAAGCTGGTTGTCTTGGTTGACCGTTGAAAACACTGTTCCTCTCAAGCTGCCTATACAGCAGTGCCAGCCTTGACGGAGGTGAGGTCTGACTTCCTTGAGCTCAGAGGGAATGGTCAGAGCACCCGCTTTGCCTTGCAGAAGGTCCTTCGTCCATGTCCAGATGGAGACCCTGTCAATCCAATTCTGAGAAAGACAGACACAGCAGAGGGCAGCTTCACCTCTGCCTGAACGCAGCAGCCCTTCACAAGTTAAACAACCCTGTTATATAAACAACTCTTTGGGTTGTGTGAATTGACTTTTTTGTCTTCCCTTTGTGCAAATGAGCAAACAGAATAAGTCTTCCATTGAGTGTAAAGGTAAAGGGACCCCAGACCATTAGGTCCAGTCGTGGCCGACTCTGGGGTTGCAGCACTCATCTCGCTTTATTGGCCGAGGGAGCCGGCGTACAGCTTCCGGGTCATGTGGCCAGCATGACTAAGCCTCTTCTGGCGAACCAGAGCAGCACACGGAAACGCCGTTTAGCTTCCCGCCAGAGCGGTACCTATTTATCTACTTGCACTTTGACGTGCTTTCGAACTGCTAGGTTGGCAGGAGCAGGGACCAAGCAATGGGAGCTCACCCCATCGTAGGGATTCGAACCGCCGACCTTCTGATCGGCAAGTCCTAGGCTCTGTGGTTTAACCCACAGCGCCACCCACGTCCCATACCATTGAGTGTAGTTTCCTGTTACTATGCAAAATAGATACTTTGGCTAGATAGTCTTCTTCACCTATAACTGGAGGGGGGGAGGGAGAGAGATGGAGAAAAGCATCATTTGGGGGAATGGGGGTGAGGGAGTTACTGGGGCTGTAGGATTCTTGATCATCACATATTTCCCAGAATACCCTGTGCATGTGGGGAGGCAAAATGGTAGTTGCCAGTGGGGACTGCCATTTGCGGAATGCTACTGCCTCTCCACTCACCTTATATAGGTCATTCAGGAAAATTGAAAATAGTTGTTAGCAGCCTGACAGGGCCTTGCAGTACTCCAATAAGCCTTCCCCACCTTTCCATTTATTTTATTTTATTTTATTTTATTGCTGAGAGGCCTCCAGTCAGGGCCGGCCTGTCCAGGAGGCAGACCAAGGCAGTTGCCTCAGGCAGCAGAATCTGTGGGCTGCCTCTGCAGGGATGTCTCCCCTGCCGCTGCCGCTAGAGAAGAGACTGCTGCACCTTCTATGTTCAGGCAAGATTGTGCGAGAGCCCTGTGAGATTGCGCAGAGGTCTCTGGGGCTCATGGGAGTCCTCACCAGAATCTGGCAAACGCAGCCGCATGACTGCAATATGCAAGGCTTTGGCAGGGGCAGCAAGGGGTGGGGGTGGGGGGCGCACAGCACTTGCTCAGGGTGGCACCTTCCCATTTTGCCTCCAACATTTCGTCACAAATGAGGGATGTTGTGTCCAGCCCTGGCACAAACTCATTGTAAGCTGACGTTAATTCTTTAATTTTGAGCTGGGGTATATCAGCATGCTAGAAGAGAATGGTTACGGTTCTCCGAGAAAAGAAATCAAATGATTGAAGTGAGCTCAAAGCACCTGTCCAGAAGGAAGGCATCTCTGCTGCATCTCTGTTACGACTTCACTCACTTCCAATGAAGAGGCAGAGGAGGATTTTCCACACTCACACGAGTTCTCCTGTTGTATCTCTGTAGGAGCCCCTGAGCTGGGCTGACTTCCTTCCAGGCAGGGGACACTCTGGAATAGGAAAACTGAGGAAGGGTGTTCTGCAAAACTGCACTGAGGGCAAATAATTCTGACTTACATACTTTATAAAAGGAAAGCTTTTATGGTCTTATTGTAGTGTAACACCTTCAGTTTTATTGTTTTATTTTTTTAAATTGTGTGCTCAACTTGCACAAGACACTTTTTCAAAGGGGCTCTGCACCTGTGATCTAAGACTAGGGATGGACAGAAGGTAGGTTCACTGGTAGATCTATTAGCAGTAGAGCTACCAATAGTCCCAGTTTCCCCCCCAAAAATAAATAAAAGCAACCCACAAGTTAGCTTGCTAAACTTGGGGTGAGGTAGGAAAACCAGGAATGGGGTTTTCCTTGGGGCAGAGGGCAGACTAAATTAAATTTTGTGTGAAAGGACTGTGAGGTCAAGCTCTAGTACTGAAAGCAAATTCTCATGCTCAGAGGCTCCCTGATCCTTGACTGTTGTCATCTATCTGGTCCTTTTCCATCTGGCTCTGGTTGGTGAACTTTGGGGTTCCATTAAAAGAAGAAGAAACCCAAAAGTATACTCTGCAAACCTAAAGTCTGCCCCCCTCCTGCCTCAATGATCTAAGGAATCAAGACAACCATGAGTCTTAAGGCAACTCGGAAAACTTTACAAACCCATTGGGGCTTAAGCTCTTGTGGGCTAAAAAGCCTGTCAAAAGCCTAATGAATTTGTTAGGCTTTAAGGCATATTCTTGATGCAATAGAGTAATGCAACCAATCCCTCCTGAACTTGTTACTCTTAAACTTAAATGGGTTTCTCTTGTCAAGAGAATTCATCTCCTGTTCCCTTGCTGGCTCCATCTTCTGAGATGCCAACGTGAGAAATCCTTATCTTAGGACACCCTCAAGTGAACTAGGCCCTAAGAATGCTCCTCTCTCAATCTCTGTTTGTGCATGTATATTGGAAATGGAGCATTCCAAATATCTGTTCTGTGTTGCAGTAACTTTGTACAGCTTGGTCATTGTACTCCCATCATGTCTGAAATAGCTGGTTGAGGAAGGCACTGTTTTCAAGAGAAGAAGTCTTAAGTAAGTTATTTCCTTCTTTTCTTTTTTCAGAGCTCTGAGGGAGATTCCCAGGCTTTGACAGAAGTGGATCTATTCATCTCCACACAGAGGATTAAAGTTCTGAACGCAGATACACAGGTAACAGGCATACAATCCCGATGCCGCAAAATGAGCATCTAGAGTTGCCTTCAGCCTTCTGGTGCCCTTCAGATGTTCTGGACTACAACTCCTATCAGCCCCAGCCAGCACCAAAGGGATAAGGAAGTAATCTAGCGCTACCAGTGTTTCTCCAATTGGGCCCTCAGCTGTTGTTGGACTACAGCTCCCATCATCCTTGACCATTGGCCCTGCTAGCTAGGGATGATGGGAGTTGTAGTCCAGCAACAGCTGGGGACCCAAGTTTGAGAAACACTGCTAGCCTCTGCCAGAGCATCAAATGACAATCCTCCTTTAAGATTATGTAAGCCTACCGTCACTCATTTGAGACCTTGTGCCTGGAATAATTTAGCACTCATTTCTGTGTTATCTGGTTCAAGGGGGGGGGACCCAAACCACCACCCATTTGCAACCCCCTTAACCCTAAAAATAGTGAGAGTAAAGTGACAAAATTTGGAATGATGAAACATCATGGTTCTTTCCTGCTGTTTCCATGGGGGAATTAAGGGGGCGAGGAGAAGCAGGCATGTGTGGAAAGGGGGGAGTAGCAGTGTTGCCCAATGCCATTTGTCGCTGTGTCTTACCATGCCCACTGGTGTGAATGAAATTGAGTGTGACATATAGGGATAAAAAAGCCACCGTTCTATCATGCAACAGGGACTGCAGTGAGGTAGGAACACTAGAAAATGGGGCAGAAGCACTAGCGTGATAATCAGGAAAAGCAACACAACATTCCCTGCATCCGAGACAGACAACCCCCTATTATTATTATTATTATTATTATTATTATTATTAATACATATTGAAGGAAAGTTCTAGGGTAGATGAGCAGATGGACCCTTCTACTGCTAATATAACTTGGTTCCTTCCATTGTGTGTTGTGTCTCTTCCTTAGATGGTAAACCTGCAGGTTGGGATTAGCCATTTTTTATCTCTGTAGTCTGGTCTTTTAAAAAATAAGAGCATACACAGGTCTGCTAAGTGTACCATTCAGGCCAGCTGCCCATGCTGTCCTTTCACATTCTCAATACTTTCTGCAGGACAATTGCTCAGATCTTCATTAAAATCCCCCACCGTCATTGCCTCAGGCCCACTGGTAAAGCTTAATAAAATGACAAATGGTAATGGGACTTGCTAGCCGCTGCAACAAATGCATTCCATAGCAGCATTTCGCTGCTGCACATAAATAATAATAAGTCAGTTCAAGGTGTGTGTGTGTGTGTGTGTGTGTGCGCGCGCGCGCGCGCACAGTGGGAAGGAATGGGAGCTGTTTCCTTTGTGTGTGAGCATCAAAAGCCAGAAGCAAGATTTAACAGTCAACAAATTAATTTGTTCCTCAACGGGATGGGTCAGGCTTGCTCTCTAAATAGATATTCCTTGGCTTGGCTCTTGAGCGCTCATTGTGCAGGGAGCCTCAAAGCCAAACTGGCCAAGGAGTCTCTGTCCGTCCTCACTGCTGACAGTCTGGGGGTTAATGTCATAGCCAAGGGATGCAGCCGCTCCCAAGGCAGTTTGGTTGACATAACTGGTGTCCGGTTACATAAATGTTGTCGGTTAACAGTGAATCCCTAGCAAATAGGCCTTTTGAGAAGGGGGCTGTGACAGAGCACTACCATTGCCTGCAGCATGATCCTGCCACCAAAACAATGGATTTCAAACTGAAACAGGAAATGAGGTATATGTGTTAAATCTGTCTCACCCTCTCTGTGCTTGGAAGCTGAAAGCAGTCCCTTTTCACATTCTGTATACCGGGGGTGAGGAACATTTTTCAGACTGACAACCATCTTGGGCCATCTTTTGAGGGGCCACAGACCAGTAGTGGGTGGGGTCAGAGGGAAAGAATGGGTGGAGCAATGGTATGACTCTTACCCCCACCCCCAGACACATCTCTTCATCCAGACAAGCAAGAAGTATTATCACGGTTGCAGGACACATTCCAGCCAAGCAAAGAGCCCTTCCGGGTGGTGAGAAGCAGGACCAAGGAGGAGTATAGCACACACACTCCTTGCGGAGGAGAGCTCATGGCCTATAGTGGAACCAGCCAACTTTCACGTAGGGCCCGGTGGGAGGGCCACGTAGTCTGTAATCCTGCACTCATTCAGGAGGCCAGGAAGGAGCCACCAAGCTGATGCTCAAAGCAGGGATGGGGGGAGGGAGAGATGACAGGGAATGGGAGTCACAGGTCTCTTATCATAGGCTGCCATCTCAAATACACTAAAGGTAGGGGGAAGCCAAAGGCAGGGTCTTCAGCTTTCAGTGGCTGCTTAAATTAACACCACTTTTGCCAAGCTAGTGCCTTCCAGCTATTTTTAAAGCTTCTTTAATGTGTGATCCTGAGATTTCAGACAAGCTTCGGTTTTGGGGTGTCCCTACGGCCCCCAGTTTGCATCTTAATTACTCAGTTTGTGGGGCAGCACAAAACATGGTGTTTGCAGCACAGAACTTTGGCACCTGTTTGGTGTCAATCGGACAGTTTTGGATTTTTGGCATTAACTTGTGACCTCAATTTGCTTTGTGAATTACTCGGTTTGGAGGGTGGCACAAAACACAGGTTTCACAACACAAAATGGCACAAACTAGCACAAAACCTTGGCATCAGTTGACAGGGGGATCCAGAATTTCGGGGTCACACGTTAATGAAGCTTTGATTACAACTTCCATCAGTCAAATGCATTTGCAGATTAGTTTTTGTGGCTGCCTTTTTCTTCCACTCACAGCTCCTTTGATCCAACTCTTGACCTTTGTCCCTGCAGATTGATTATTTGTTTGATCAGTGTGGACCATGAGGAGGAGCAGGAATGGAGGCAGATGTGCATTCAATTTGCTGTCCTCTGAACGCTCATCCCTGAATTCTATTGTCTTGTTTTAAAAATACAGTAGCAGACTTTCATTTCTTGCCTAGGGGAAATTCCACCCCCTGCATCTTCAGCTTACATTCAGCTTCCCCTCCCCTGCTTTCTAAATTGTACATTTTCAGTAATGTCTATTATTTCCCTTAATTGATCTCACGAATGCCTCTCATTCTTTAAGTGCGCGTGAATTTTAGTTGTGTTGATTTGAGCCATATAGCCAGTCTATTTGTTTTATTTGTCAAAGACTTGCTGAACCCATTTCATTTTGAAATGCTTCATTTTGAAATGTAAGAGGTGCTTTGCAGAATATAATACTTTTCATATGAGTACTGCATTATATGTGGCTTAACAGCCAAGGTTTTTAAAGCACCAAATTTAATTAAAAGCAAAAACTAAATGGCTTTAAATTGAGCTGCATCCAGGGTCTCTAAATGCCCATTTAATTAACTGAAATGTCAGATGTGTGTGTGCACACGTGTGTGTGTATGTGTGCGTGCGTGTGTCCCCACACTTTTGGCTTTTTATTTGAAATGACAGTTTGAGTTGCTTACATCATTTATCAAAGAATAAGAAATCAATGATTCTTTCTATATATTGGTAATGGAAAGATTTTTCTGAAGACTAGCACACTCTAAAATGACCCATAATGATTGGCAAAAAATTAATCAAATTTGCTTTTCAGTGCAAGTTCAATAGGAGCTGATTTGTACATCACACAGGAAGAGGCGGGAGAATTCTGGATATTTCTGCTGCAGATTATTGTGCAGGATTGCAGTGAACTGATGAACTGAAGCATGGAGACCATAAGAACTTTGGAGGAGCTCTGCTGGCTCAGGCCAAAGCCTGTCTAGTCCAGTGACCTCTTTCCCATTCAGATGCCCCTGAGAGCCCCCAAGCAGGACATGAGGAAGATGGGGAACTTGCCCAGTCTAGGAACAGAACAGAGCCTGGACTGGACTGGACCAAAGAGTTCAGGGATGAGGAACCTGTGACCCTCCAGATATTGTTGGGCTCCAGCTTCCACCAGCCCTGGTTCAGTTCTGGGCAGCAGAAGTGGGCTGGCACATCCGTTTCAAGGCAGTGGGGCACTGTTCTTCTAATGTTTTCTCTCTTCTTCTTTATAAAATATGAAGGAACATGCATCATTTTAAAATAGTTGGGGGCCCATGTTGATAGTTTTGGCTTATCGGTTGCTCCTAGGAAACCATGATGGACCATGCACTGCGCACCATCTCCTACATTGCCGATATAGGTAACATCGTCGTTTTGATGGCCAGGCGCCGGATGCCCCGATCAGCTTCGCAGGACTGCATTGAGACGACCCCCGGCGCACAGGAAGGAAAGAAGCAGTACAAGATGATCTGCCACGTCTTCGAATCAGAGGATGTAAGTGAACGGCATTTGGAAAAATGCATTATTTAGAGGTTGTGCATGACTGAAGCTTTTGCTTGGTTAAGCCTTTCAGAGATGGTCAGGGCCAATGTGTTTGCTGCCTTTCCATTCCCAAGAAGTTTCCTCTTTATTCCGCTTGGAATTCCCCGCTCAGAATGCACCTCTGTATGTTATTGCCCTTCTCCTGGAGTGCTTGAACGTTTAATAATTTACCTTACTTTTAAAAGGTCTTTTAAAGCAGACATGACCTAAAATGACAGCATAACATGGACTCATAGCTCAGTGTTATCTACTTTGACTGGCAGCTGCTCTTCAGGGTCTTGGGCAGAGAAAGATCTTCCCCACCATCTGCAACTTTTATTTGGAGATGACATGGAGCGAAGTTACTCTCTCCTACATGCAAAGCTACAATACCTGAACCATGGTCCTTCTCCTGCCTTGGGATGGTGAGCTGGGGGTCATCCAGATGTTCCTGGACTACAGCTCCCATCATCTCTGATCATGAGCCATGATGGCTGGAGCTGATGGTAACTGGAGTCGAGCTACATCTGGAGGGCCACAGGTCCCCACCCTTGCCCCACCCTTAAGGGACATCCCTTTCTTCCTGTCATTGTGATGCAGACCATGGGTAGACCTTTGCAGCAGGGAGAACTGAAGGGCTGGCAAATCATTGCAGAGCAGTCAGAGCATAAATATAGGTCATCTAACACAACTGCCATGATTTAATTACATTACTCCTTAGTGAGCAATTGAATAGAATCTAGCTTAAATACCTTTCCTTACAACCCTAGTGTAATATGGAATATGTATGTGACATGTGCTTGACTCTAGTTTAGTGTGCGCTAGATCATAGGCTTCCATGCTGTGGTCTGTGGATCATCAGTGGTCATGGAATACTAGAATTGTCCAACCCCCTGCAGTGCAAGTCCATTAGCTTCTTACAGGTGGCCCACAGTGGTGACTCTGCAGAGTGGCATAGTTACATGTGTATGATGAATGATGGGCACAGAGGCTGTTTCGTTGTCCTTAGAACCTGGTGGTCCTCCCAGAAGGAGTACAGCACAGCCAAGGAATAAAGCCAAGGCTGGCAGCAAGATGGGGTATAGAATTTTAAATATTTTAAATAAAATACTTCAATGTCTAGCAATTGTACATCAAAATTGCTGAACAACAGGCAGAAAAATTATTCCACTTTTTTTTTTTTGCAGGCTCAGCTGATTGCCCAGTCAATTGGCCAGGCCTTCAGTGTGGCATACCAGGAGTTCCTCAGAGCTAATGGCATCAACCCTGAGGATTTGAGTCAGAAGGAATACAGTGACATCATCAACACCCAGGAGATGTACAACGATGATCTGATCCATTTTTCCAACTCGGAAAACTGCAAGGAGGTTAATTTGCCCTGTTCTTAAAGCGAAATCATGTTTTGTTGCTCCTTCTTCACTGTAGGATTAGGAATGTACATGCTGGGAACCCATGTGGAGTTTTAAGAACTCATTTGCAAACATATATTTTCATCGTATTGAAACAGTAACATAAAATTAAATTCACTGAGCTGGGTTTTGAATTTTGCTGTTGTTATATATAGTTCATTGAGTTTGGACTTTTTTCAAGCAGCCCCTTTACCCCTTCAGCCACCCCCAGCTTTCCCACACCTCCCACTATTCACTTGTAAGAACATAATATGCCCCTGCTTGATCAGGCCCATGGCCCCTCTAGTCCTGCATCCTGTACTCAACAGTGGCCAACCAGATGCCTCCATGAATTTGTCCAATCCTCTTTGAAGGCCAACCAAGTTGGTGTCTATCACTGCCTCCTGTGGGAGCGAGTTCCAAAGTGCTTTCTTTTGTCTGTCCTGAATCTTCCAACATCCCATGATGAACACACACCTGGATGTGCATGGATAACAAACAACCTCATGGAGAAGGAAGCGGTGATGAATGAAGGGAAATAAATGAGCACCAAACTATTTATGGAGTCAATTTATGTTGCTGTTGTTTAGTCGTTTAGTCGTGTCTGCCTCTTCATGAGCCCATGGACCAGAGCACGCCAGGCACTTCTGTCTTCTACTGCCTCCCACAGTTTGGTCAAACTCATGCTGGTAGCTTCGAGAAACACTATCCAACCATCTCGTCCTCTGTCGTCCCCTTCTCCTTGTGCCCTCCATCTTTCCCAACATCAGGGTCTTTTCCAGGGAGTCTTCTCTTCTCATGAGGTGGCCAAAGTATTGGAGTCTCAGCTTCATGGTCTGTCCTTCCAGTGAGCACTCAGGGCTGATTTCCTTAAGAATGGATAGGTTTGATCTTCTTGCAGTCCATGGGACTCTCAAGAATCTCCTCCAGCATCATAATTCAAAAGCATCAATTCTTCGGCGATCAGCCTTCTTTATGGTCCAGCTCTCACTTCCAGACATCACTACTGGGAAAACCATCGCTTTAACTATACGGACCTTTGTTGGCAAGGTGATGTCTCTGCTTTTTAAGATGCTGTCTAGGTTTGTCATCGCTTTTCTCCCAAGAAGCAGGCGTCTTTTAATTTCGTGGCTGCAGTGATCATGGATCCCAAGAAAGTAAAATCTCTCACTGCCTCCATTTCTTCCCCTTCTATTTGCCAGAAGGTGATGGGACCAGTGGCCATGATCTTCGTTTTTTTGATGTTGAGCTTCAAACCATATTTTGCGCTCTCCTCTTTCACCCTCATTAAAAGGTTCTTTAATTCCTCCTCACTTTCTGCCATCAATGTTGTGTCATCTGCATATCTGAGGTTGTTGATATTTCTTCTGGCAATCTTAATTCTGGCTAGGGATTCATCCAGCCCAGCCTTTCGCATGATGAATTCTGCATATAAGTTAAATAAGCAGGGAGACAATATACAGCCTTGTCATACTCCTTTCCCGATTTTGAAACAATCAGTTGTTCCGTATCCAGTTCTAACTGTAGCTTCTTGTCCCACATAGTCAATTTATATACTGCTTAATTACAGGTGACCTAAAGCTAGATGTGATGTTTGTCATATAGTTTGCCCTTTGATAGTAGTTGTTTGTTTACCAATAGTCAATGTGGGGGGAGGAGCCAGATCAGGGCCAGGACAGAGGGGATGGGAGCTGAACCCTTCACCCTTATCATTGTCCAGATTGCAATTGCCACCACCCTGCAGCTTCTTAAAAAATATGTTTAGTATTTTCCAAAATAGCAAATATAAAACTGAACATTGCAAGGCAAAATAAAGTCCAATCATACACCACAAAAATACATTTCCCCCCATCCAGTGTGAGGTGGTGGGACTCCTTCATGAGGCTGAAGAAAAGGCATTTGATATTGTTGTGTGTCCACAACCCTGAGCAATGAGAGACTCCAGGGGTTCCAGTGCTTACCTAGGATTTTGTTTCCTTAAAATGAAGGTCAGCTGGGACGGTGGTGTCTTTAGGATATATACTTTTATTTACACATATATGCAACCTGAGCCATAAGATGGAGGGGCTCCAACAGATCTTGCCTCCCTGTTAGGTGCCTGGGGAGGGGACAAACTAATAGCTGTGGATTCAGCACAGATTATTATTATTATTATTTATTATTATTATTATTTCTACCCCGCCCATCTGGCTGGGTTTCCCGAGACAAGAGAATCAAGTGTCTCTCTGGCTTTCAGCTCAGCCAAAGTTCCTCTCACACAGTTGTAACTAGCTCTCTCATTTTTTGGTAAATAATTTTTTATTAATTTTCAATTAATAAAATCCAATATAAACCACATTTTATCAATTTCAAATTACAATTCAAATTCAAATACGTATCAACTATAAAGCCAATTATACATTTTGTGTGGCCTCCCGCGTGCTAGATTTCAAGTTGAGATGATTTTATTTCATCCTGCTTCCAAAGTCTTAATTAATCCAATTACATTCAGTCATGATCTTAATCCCTTATCAGCAGCTACAAAGTTTTAGACTTCCATTTGTATTGGCGGGGAGCTTGTAAGGACAATTGCCCTCAAATCATCCTTGTTTATCCTTTGCTAACGGTCTCCACTATTGTGGGTGTGGCATCCATTAAGGCAGACCAGAACTGGAAGCCCACAGTTGTAACTAGCTCAATCTTTGGTTGGGACTGATGGAAATAGATGCCATCTGGAAGATGCCAAATTGGGGAAGGCTAAACTAGTCTATAGCTTTTGGTGTCTCCCCTAATCCCCATGGCTTTGTTGAATAGCTCCTCTCCCTCTGCTCCACTTCACACTTGTAAATCTCAGTAAAGTATCAACACCTTGTATACATGAACACAGGAAACTGCCTTATATGAAATCCTGTCTACTGAATTGTGTCCACACCGTCTGGCAGCATCTCCTCAGGGTTTTAAAGGGGGGACACCCCCAGGACCTTCAGATGCCCTCTCACTGAGCTTTCCCTTCATGTCTCCCCCCTGCCAATGATCCTTTTCCTTTTTCCTGAACAAAGCACATCTTTCTCATAGAATTCCAAGCCCATGCCCATCGTTATTGCTGTAGGATTATTTATTTATTTTTGCATCTTTTGCTAAGTGTTATATATTTAAAGTCAGTAATGGGCCTCCCGCTGTGGGGTAATCAGCACTGCACAGAGTGGGCCTGTTGCCTGCTGTGGCTTTACATAGAGGATGCATTGCTCATGTCCTGTGTCTTGCATCTTTAAAAAAGACATAGTGAGGCTGACTGTATGTTTCCAAAATGGCTTTGCAAATTCTTACACTGCAGGTCCAGCTTCCTAAGTGCATATTCCCCATATTTGGCATGTTGTCCTTAAGGGACTTTTCCTGCTATTCATTCCAATGTCCACTGCTTTTTTGGGGGACAGGGAGTAAGTGGGAGGGCTTTTGGATCCCATCAGAACATTGCACCTTTCCCCCCTAAGCTGGGCAAACACTTCCTTGCAGAATTCTGCAACCCTAGAATTCCCACAAACATTCTCCCTCCAATTTGTTTTATTTTGCAGTTGCAGATAGCCAAACACAAGGGCGAGATTCTCGGTGTGGTCATCGTGGAGTCTGGCTGGGGGTCCATTTTACCCACAGTGATCCTGGCCAACATGATGAATGGGGCCCCTGCTGCTCGTTCAGGGAAACTCAGCATCGGGGACCAGATTATGTCCATTAACGGGACCAGTCTCGTGGGGCTTCCCCTGGCAACATGTCAAGGAATCATAAAGGTACTGTATGTAATGTCTCACTCTGAATGTGACTGACCTGTATGAAGGACTCTATACTTGAAAATAGAAACTCTGTATGTACTTTTGTTACCCAAGAAAAATCTTTTAATAAAAACATTTGGAAGGAAGGAAGGAAGGAAGGAAGGAAGGAAGGAAGGAAGGAAGGAAGGAAGGAACTGTTTAGGATGAGAGGGGAGGGGTCTGTCCTGTGGACTGTGGAATCCCACTTCCTAGAAATTCTACAATTACAAATTTTGATGTTGCCAACACTGTGGGTCTTACGGACAGCAAAGGGAGAAAGTGGAAGGATGAGATTGTCACCAAGGTAGTCGTCTCAAGAGCCACGAGGCCTCTCTGTCTTGCGAAGTCAAGCAGGTCTCACTCTGGTTAGTGCCTGGCTTGGAGACTGCCTGGGAATCAGATGCTTACCACATTGGGTTCCATGAGGGGAGAAGGGCAGGGTAGAAATGTAAGGGGAATTTTTAAAATCATGATGATGAATGATGGTGATAAAAGCATGTCCTTAGTTGTTGGCTCGTCTGCCTATTTGGTAGGTTGTGGAGGAATTGAAGCATTGGGGAACGCTTGCAAGCCCAAGGGCCACATTCCCTTGAAGGCAGGCTTCTGGGGGCCATATGCCAGCAGTGGCCATCCAGAGGGGCATTCCATCCATTCCAGCCATTCCACACCCCTACTTCTCCTTGCATTCAGGCAACCAAGACACCCACTGTTCAAGTTCAAGGATCCACGTTCAAGTATACATTTGCACCAGGCAAAAGCATTTAAGGAGGGTGCAGAAAAAGATTGGGTTTTTGGGGGGGAGGGGTGGCCTGAGGATAGTTCCAAAGGCCAGGGAGAGAGACCTGGAGTGCAGAGTCAATTCCTGGACCAGCGCCTCCTGTCCCCACTGCATTAGATCAATAAGATGAAACACACAGTCACTTGCATCAACTCACTTCCCACGCAGGAGCCCTTTGGGTGCCCCCAAATGGGATAAGACAAAAACACCATTGGACACAACCAACTATGAAGTGGCGGCCACTGGAAACTGCCTTCCTTTGTTTGTGATAAAGAACTTGCTAAGCTTGAGGACATTTTTCAGGGTCTTAAGAACCAGACGCAAGTGAAGTTGAACATTGTCAGCTGCCCTCCAGTCACCACTGTCCTTATAAAGCGACCAGACTTGAAATACCAGCTGGGCTTCAGTGTACAGAATGGAATTGTAAGTTCACTTTTCCTTGTAGTGTTGGTATGGTGGTTGGATTTGAAAACTATTGTCTTTGCTCAAAAAGAGTCGGATGGATAAGGACAATGGTTCTTATTTGCTGTTTTAAAAAATTATTACTGAGATTTTTCAAATAAACAAAAATTACATAATTACAAAACGCATAAGAAATAACTTAACTACGAGCTTAGTCCTTGTGCTACTTGTGGATGCGCAGAAAAAAGAGAAAATCCAAATAATTATTTAGAAAAGACTCAAAGAGCGATATGGAAATCCAACAAAGATAATTCTTGGGGAGTTTAATCTACAGACCAAAACTGTTTAGGTATAATCCCTGCCCATAATGATGCTCTGGAGGAAGAACTGCTCTCTGCTGTCTCAAAACAAATTCAACAAACAGAGACCAAGTAACTGAGATTTAACTCCTCTAGGTTTTCTGTTACATTCTGTAGCTTTTTCTGCAGCTGCTAACAGCCTTACCTTATTCCACCATCCCTTTAAGGTGAATTGGAAATGAAAATTTAAATTGCTGGGCTGCTTTGAGAATGCAATATTTAGCTGAGGAAAAAAGACGAGTGAATTTTGCACATGGTGGAGAAATGACAGATACATTTCTCCCACTGGCATAATGCACTCACCCAGGGCGCTCCCATGGAGCTGAGTGTCAAAAAATTCAGGACAGACAAAAGTGCTTCTTCACACAGTGCATAGCTAAACTACAAAATTCACGGCTGTAGGATGTGATGATGACCATTAGCTTGGGTGGCTTAAAAAGGGTTAGAGAAATTTAGGAAGGGTAAGGTTATCAGTGGCAACTAGTCATGATGGCTGTATATTACCTATGGAGTCATCATACCTCTGAATAGCAGTTGCTTGGGGCAACAGCCAAGAGTGAGGACTGTTGCATTAATGCCATCCTTGTGGGCTTCTCAAAAGAGACACCTGGCTGGCTTCTGTGGAGCTGGGAGAGCTCAGTTGGTAGAGCCTGAGGCCTTTAATCTCAGGCTCATGGGTTCACGTCCCACGTTGGGCTAAAGATTCCTGCCATGCAGGGGCTGGACTAGATCACTCATGGGGTCCCTTCCAACTCTACAGTTCTATGATTCTAGAACTAGATGGGTCTTGGTTTGATCAAGTCTTTGGTTATTACGATGACTTCTGCAAATAGCTCATTACTAGCCATGATACAGCCAAGTTCAGTCTCCTTGTTGAGCAGCAGTGAGTGAGGACTCTTGCTTCACAACCTGCCTAGAGGTCATCCGGCAGACAGCTGGGCGCCGTGGGAATAAGAAGCCCTTTCCATATTAGCCAGCAGTCCTGCTTGTAGATTCTTTAGAGGAGCCCTAATCTCAAAGAAGTTCATGCCAGCTGTTCTATTTGGAAGTCACCTAGTTGCAGCAGCAGGTTGCTTTCTGAATAGGTTTCCCATAAGGCAGTACCACTTTAACTGGGGTTTGGTACCATCTAGTGGCTGTTAGGCATATTCACAATTGGCCTCAATGCCACCCTGTTCAGTGACTGTCTAATGCAGGGCATAGCGAGCACTTTTGAAGGCAAAAGAGAAGGATCCACTTTGCCCTGAGGAGTAGGAGGATTTCTAAAGGGTGAACCTGGAGTATTAGAACGTCATCTGACTGAAATTCTTTTCATATAACTATTTCAACGCATTATATGTAGGGCTGCTTCTGAAAACAGTTCAGAAACTTCAGGTGGTTCAGAAGTCAGTGACCAGGCTGCTCACTGGGACAAGACGGTTTGAGTGTATTACACCGATCCTGGTCCAACTGCACTGGCTACCAATTAGTTTCCAGGCCCAATTCAAAGTGCTGGTTTTGACCTATAAAGCCCTAAATGGCTGAGGACCACAATACCCCAAGGACTGCCTCTCCCCATAGGAACTGAGCCAGACCCTGCAATAATCACCTGAGGCCTTTCTTTGTGTGCCTCCTCCATGAGAGGTCCAGAGGGTGGTAACATGAGACTGGGCCTTTTCTGCAGTGGCTCCCTCTTTGAGGGATGCTCTCTCCAGGGAGGATTGCCAGGTGCCTTGTATCACGTATCTTTAGGCCTTTGGCCTTTAACCATCTTTGGCCTTTTAGAAGTGAGCGAGCTGTTATTAATGTATTTCTTTTTCCTCTTGGCTTTAATAAATCTATGTGAGGGGGTTTCTCTGTTTGTTTGTAAGTTGCTTTGGTTGAACAAATTTTAGCAACAACAGCAGCAGCAGCAGCAGCAGCAGCAATATGAAAAGGAATGCCTGTGTTGCAATTCTCAGTATATACTGAGATTTGTGATATTTCTGTCTTTTGCATTGTGTGATCTCATTCCATACTTTCTACCTTCCTGGGTTTGTTTTTCACATCTTGCATTTTGCTTCTGATGTTATTGTTAAACATTACTGCTGCCTCAATTTTACCTTGGCAAGGACTTTGTTTTGCATAGAGTCTAATGTGACGGTGGGGGTCCCATGGCCCTCCAGTGTGGCTGGATTGCACTCCCCCCCCCCCGACCATTGGCTCTGCTGGCTGGATTCAAATAACAACGTCAACATGGCCACAAGTTTCCTATCTCTGATCTGATATATTCAAATAATGATAATTGCATGTATGCATGTTGAATTTCAAATGGGGAGCCAACCTGCGAGCATCTATTTACTGAAGGTAAAGGTGTGAATTTACCTAGCTGGATTTTTATGTTTTAATGCTGTGACTCAGGCTCCTGCCATATAGCCTGTGCCCTTGGATGTGCTCTGGGCTGCATCCCTGTGCAAGAGGGGCCAGCCCTCAGACCCTCACCCAGTATAAGGCCTTAGCCCTCACTTTTGGCAAGTTTGCATAAAGCTGACATGGAGCTGCCTTCCCCAAGCTGAAGTCCTCCAGATGGTTTGCACCACAGCTCCAATCAGACCCAGCCAACCTAGCCTTAGAGCAACGGAAACCTTTCTCAACCTTGGCTCCCCAGATGGACTGCAACTCCTCTTATCCCTGACTGCTGGCCCTTCTTACCAGGGATAATAGGCTGAGAAAGTTTGATCTAGACAGTTAAGAACCCACGAGGTTCTTAAGAAAAAGGGAAGATTGGGTCAGTGCTGTAGTGGGCATTGCCAGAACCTGGGGCAAGGCAAGCATTGCAGCTCCTCTTTTGGACATTGTGCAGGAGGCAACAGATATTTTTCACTGCGCCCCTGCGGCAGCTGCTCCTCACAGAGGTTGCCTGCTGGTTTCTGTGTTCCCTCTCTCATCACAGTGAGCTCCCACAGCTTCTCTGTGTTGCCATTGCAAGGTGTGTGTCTTGTCCAAGGACACATGCCGGGAGGGAGGCCCCAGGGAAGGACCAACGTAGGCCAGGAAAAGTCTGGGCTCCATCCAGCAGAAGTTCTGCCCAGGGGCGGGCATACCTTCACCGGCCACAAGGAGGAGGCGCCACTGCAGCTCTGAAGGCCTAGCTAGCCTCCGGAAGGCTCTGGAAGGCGGCAGCCAGGAGCTCAGCCATGCAGCCTCTGCAAGAGAGCCTGTCATGGGGCCCTGGCTTGCGCCCCCTCAGAATTCTGCTCCTGGGGCCACATCCCCCTCACCCTATGCCATTTGATTGGGCATATATTAGCATATGACATTCGTATGGAGCAAAAGTTACCTTTAGTGAAATGAAGCGTTGCTTTGATTGGAAGGCATTCAGACCAAGTATGAAGTCAGAAAGCTGATGCTTATGAAGGGAAGCACATTCTTGATGGAGAAAAAGAGTTCTATAGCTCTAGGTAACTAACTAGTTGGAGAAATAATGAAGCCATGCATGCGCCTGTTCTCAAAAGACGCAGCCGAGGTGCCCTTGCACCACGAGGTCCAGAGGAGTGTGCAAACGGTAAGAACTTAAGAAGAGCCAGCTGCTGGATCAGGCCAGTGGCCCATCTAATTCCGCATCCTGGATGCTGGATTCATTCCCATCTTAAACTGGACCTGATGAAACCCTCACCCCTGTGAACTTAATGCTGTCATTGTGTACACATTTCACCCAGAGATGACAAGTTGTTTGGGATCTCTTTGGGAATTTTCAACAGATAGCCCAGCAGCTGAGGGATTGAGATGGGGGGGGGGGGGGAGATCTCACCACAAGAGCTTGGGGCGTTTCCTGCCAGCCAGCCAGCTGTGTTCATCTTAGGTCCGTGAAGCACAGTTGGATCCCCCTTCCTCAGGCTTGAATTGATGAGTTGGCTTCTTGTCATCTCCAGCTGCTGCTTTCGGTCTGTTACCACTAACTGACCTGAAAGTAATTCAGGGCTGTTGATGCCCAGCCTAAAGAACAGGGAGCCGTTTCAAAAGTTTTCTGCATGTCGCCCCCACCTATCAACTGTGTTGCGCTATGTTGCAAACCTTCCTTGCTAAATAAACCTAGGAGTCAGAAAGAGATTCCAGGCCCCAAAATGGAGGGAGGGAGGGAGGGAGGGAGAGATAGATACAGTATTTAGCCTGAACAGCAAACCTAGCCTTGGAAATTTATCCCTCACGGTGGTCTAGAATCTGATCCTCTAGTTCCCAAACTTTTTCAGGAAATCCACCTCTTGGTTCCATAAACTGTGCTTCCCATCCTACCCTACAAAAAGGCATTACTGAGAATAGCAGTCTGCATGAAGGGAGATACTAACACAATAAAATTCAAAGCAGTAACAATTAATTGCATATTTATTCAAACAATTCAACAAAAGGAAAAAAAGAGCATTGACAGGTATAAGGCTAGGAGACCATTTCCCCCCTAACCTGGGCCAAAACTGAAATAAAATGTTTAGAGCAGTAGTTTGCAAAGTGGGTGGTGGTGGGGGGGACAGTAGGATTCCCTGGTGGGTTGCTAAGAGGCAAGGAGGTGGCAGTGGGGGGGCACTGGAGGTGTAAATAACAATAAGCTTTTGAAAATCTGGTAACACTGGATCACGTTCCATTTCCCACCTCCTTCCCAAAGCCCGACTTAAGCCGGCCCCTTAAGGGGAAGAGGCTATTGATGGCCATTGGCCATGGTGACTATGTTTTGCCTCCGAACACCAGTAGCTGCAAGCCACTAGAGGGCTCACTATGTTTGGGTCCTGCTTGCAGGTTTCCCACCAGGATCTGGGTGGCCAGTGTGAGAGCAGGATGCTGGACTAGATGCACCATTGGCCTGATCCATCAGGGCTCGTCTTGTGCATTTACATCTAGGCCCAAGGGCAAAAGCTCATGACCTTCCTCCTAGTTCTGTAGGACACCTGGCACAACCTTAAAAAAAAAAAGAATGTGAATCTCTCTCCCTCTTTCTCTCTCCAGATCTGCAGTCTGATGCGAGGTGGGATAGCTGAGAGAGGTGGTGTCAGGGTTGGCCATCGCATCATTGAGATCAACGGTCAAAGTGTCGTTGCCACGGCTCATGAGAAGATTGTACAAGCTTTGTCAAACTCTGTGGGAGAGGTGAGGCTTCCAGAGCAGAGTATTTCCCCCATAATAAAGGACTGGCAGATTTAGTTTCTCCTTGTTGGAGGAAAGGGAAAGAAAAAGAATAATTTGTGTTCTAGGAAACCAACAGTAGGCTGAATCCAAGATGGTGGCCTTGCCTGTTTTTCATCTAGTTTTCCAGAAAGATTGTGTGTTTGGAGTGAGTGTGTGTGTGTGTGTGTGTGTGTGTGTGTGTGCTTTAAAAAAGAAAACTCAGATACATTATTCAATTTCAGTGTTAGGGGAGAAAATTAATCAAGTATTGGAAATCAGTAGATTCATGCATGAAATGCACAATGATCATTTGTCTTCATACGTTGTGGTAGTTTGATGAATTGGCATTCAGATAGTTGACTGAAGAGAGCAGGCTTGTAAAACAGGCATGAGATGTGTAAACATTTGTCCAGATCTAAAGAGAAATTGGAAAGTGGGAATTTCAAGGTAGTGTGCTGGAAGGGAAGAATTTATTTAATCTGTTGTCCCTATCCACATTAATTTGAGTTGCCTTGGAAGCAACATCCACCCCTTGTCCCATCTCTGTCTTGAACATCAAACAAATGCCCTTCTAAGTATAATGCCTGCATACCATCCTTATGGGAGGAGTGTAAGGATCTGCAGAAAGAAAGTATGCCAGGGAGAGGGCAGAGCTAGCATGATTTCTGTGTGCAGGGTGTGGTTTCATTTCTTTTTGCATGCCAACACATTCAGGCATTTGAGCCCCAGATTGATACAAGGCATATCAAAAAGGACTAGAACCCCAGAGAGGCAGCATTCTTACCAGGGAGGGGTCCTTCTCTAGAATTCTTTTTCTCTTGAGATTCTTATTGTTTACCACATTTAAATAGCTGCCCTGGGTGACTTACAACATAATGTTGAAAACACAATGTACAATACTTAGTTTAAAAAAGCAATTCTAGGGTCACTAAGCTCTAACCCTGAACTAGTTCCAAAACTAATGTGTTTTACCCTGTCTGGACAAGCACTGAAAAGTTAGTCAGACACTGCATGTGTACTACAGCCCTTGCCTGCAATTGGTATTGGATTGTCTTTCTTTCAAGTCATCCCCAGATTGTAATTTCTGTGCTCATGACAGGTCTGTAGGAAGACTTGTTTTCCATGTGCAAGGAGATTGTGCTGCGAAGGTATTTTCAAATATCTGTGCTCACCACTCCCCCCCCCCCCAAGTCTGTTCTGGGTTGGTATGACTGAGTTGGCATAGACAGGAGCCTCCCCAAAAGTTTGAAATGCTCTCCAGTAGTCAGCGATAAGAACGGGACATATGTCTTTTCAGTTTTCCACATCTAGTTTGAGGCAGTATTGCAGCCAGTTTCTGGGAGTCACACATGGGGAGGCTGATGTTGCACTCAGATCCTGCCTGTTTATTTAGCTAGCAAGATTTATATGCACCTAATGAAAGTAATTATAATCTCTGAGCAGTCCACATCAAGTTTATGCACTTCCTAGGGCCTCTGGTGGACCACTGTGTGTACATGATACTGGGCCTTTGGCCCGATACTGCTGGACTTTTGTGCTTTTAAGAACTCCTTTTCTCTTTTTGACGTCTTCTAATCTCGAATCTTGTAATCTAATAATTTATTATTTATATGCCGCCCATCTGACTGGGTTGCCCCAGCACAATATATCACAGCCTAAAAACTTCCCTGAACAGAGCTGCCTTCAGATGTCTTTTAAAAATCACATAGCTGTTTATCTGTTTGACATCTGGCGGGAGAGTGTTCCACAGGATGGGAGCGACTACTGAAAAGGCCTTCTGCCTGGTTCCATGTAACCTCACCTCTCGCAATGAGGGAACCACCAGAAGGACCTCCAACCTCCGTGTCCAGTCTGGATGATGGGAATGGAGATCCTCCTCCAGGTATACTGGGCTGAAGCCGTTTCGGGAGGTTAGGAGGAGGACCCTGTACTGTTTTGCAACCTGCTTTTGAAGTGCCACTGAGAAGACAGGCAGTGACACCTTCCTCCTATGCCCTCACTGCCCTTGACCTCACTTACCAACACACATAAAATCCTATTGGCAGTGGTGACCCATGTGATTTTGGTGATGATGTTACGGAAGCATGTAAACAAAATCACATGGTGCACTGCAGGGGGACCAACTATAGGCAAATGAAGGCAAGAACATGCCGGTGAAGAAGGATGGTGAGTTAGCCCCACCCACCCCTAATTTGTTTTTCTGTGTTGATGGTGCTGCTTTCAGACTGGATATCGAAACTATGAACTGTTTGGCACAGCCCTGATCCTGGCTGCTGTTGTTTGGATACGGTTTGATGCTTGCTTGTTTCTCAGCTGCTTCTCAGTGGGCATCTTGTCCTTGCCTTCCTTTGTCCATACCGGTGGTGTCTAATTCTGTTGGCTATGATGCAGCAAGTGATTTTGTTTACAGGCATCATTGATGTCATCAGCACAATCACAAGTGTCACCAGAGCCTGATTTTATGGCACCCTGGTTAAGTGAGGCTGAAGGCAGTGAGGGCGGAGGAAGAAGATACTGCCACATTCAACACAGCAGATCTTAACCGCTGCCAATTCTCTTCTCGCCTACTTGACAGATTCATATGAAGACCATGCCTGCAGCAATGTTCAGGCTGCTAACGGGACAGGAGACACCACTGTACATCTAACTCTCATCAAAAGAACTGAATGATCCCAGCCATTCTAGAACCTTCAAGAGGAATTTTTGTATTTTGTAGGAACAGAAAGGGTTTGAACCAATTCGTGGATATATTCTGGAAACTCAACAGATCCAGCTTCTTTGCCTTTTGCTTCTCCATTTCTTTCTCTTTTAAACAACATTTTGTTGCCAAAAGATGAATCTGTTACTTATGGACCAGTAACCAACTGACACCACCTTTCCAATACATGGAAGTATTTTGCGACATCATCTACAAAGCCCTTTCCCTGTGGAAGCTGGCAGCATAGGGCGGCATCCACCACAAACGCCCCCTGTGCAAACCCCACTGGTGTGTTGTCTGGGATCCAGCTGCAGGCAGTGGGGCCTGCGCAATCCCTCTTGCTGGTGGATTCTGCTTGAACACTGACTGCGGCATGCCCGTCCCAGGTATGCACACCTGCTGCTTCTAAGCAATGTGGCAAAACTGCCTGTGTAATTGGAGGAGATAAGTGAGGGCAGGCCAGTTTCGAAATGACCAAGAATGTATGCACTTCTGGTTGGGGCTGGGGTTGGGGGTGGAGTGTTTGATGCTAATCCAATGAAAAGCTACTGTTGTGCTTGGTATTCTTATTGACAAGTGTAACGTGTTAACAAGTTTTGATGAAATGTGACTTTAAGTGTAGAACAAGGGGCGGGGGCTGGTGGGGGTGATGGGGAGGAGGAGGTTTTTTTAAAAAAACAAAAACCCAGATGCAAAATAACAAAAGACTTGCCGCAATATAAAGCTGGATATTTATTTAGATCAAGTAAATTTATGGTTTGGAAACTGAAGTTTTTTAATGACTGAAATTGTTCTTATGGATTTGCATATGGGGTACAGGGGGTTCCTAGTTTTTAATATCCCACAACCTTCCATCTCTTCCTCTTTGGTTGAACTTGAGTTTACTACCAGAAAGCCATGTTTAAATAGTTTTAAGGTCAATCCTGTTTCCTTTTTCTTGTTTTTTTCTGCGCCAACATGTGGTCTGAATGTAAATGATGGCTGCAAACGGGGAAGTCATCACCATCAACAGTATTAGAATTTGTGGAGATGATAAACCGAGTACTAGTAATGTTGTGTTCATTATGAGATAAATGTCAACTGATGTAACCTTTTTTGTCTTGATTTCTCTCTCTCTCCTTTTGGCCAAGGCCTTGAAAAAAACAATAATACACTGTGACTAAAGAAGCCTTACATGCAGTAACAGAAAAGCTTTAGGATTACTGTAGTTCAAGGAGTAACGCCGTAGATCTCTTGTTGCATGCAGGTGACCCTAGGAGAGAAATAATCGAGACTCGCTAATAAATTTGGAGTAATAAAGCACTGTGGCTTCTTTTGTTTGTTTTTGAAGTCTGCTTAGTGCAGGGATAGAAAACCTTCAACCCACAGGCCAACCCCCCTCACCCGCCTGTTCACTTGGGGGTCTGGCCCCACCCGCTGCCAACAGTTCCCACCAAGGGGGTTCTGCCTCTGTGTGGGAAAAGGTCCCCCACCCCTCGCTTAGCAGGTGCGGTGACACCAGGACCAGCTTGTGCGGCTGGTGGCACAGCTCCTGCCTCCTCCAAGGGGATTTGTGCAAGAGTGCCCTGCCGCGTTCCAAGAGAGGCTGGGCAGAGCGCAGGCTTCAGCCACTGGGGCTTCATCTTGAAGTGACATTGCAGAAGGAATTTCCTGCTCACCATTCATCTTCCCCTCCAGAAATCAGCACTGCAGATTTTGAGGGAGTGCGAGTTAGCTGAATGCTTGGGCTTCCACTGGAGGTCACTGTAGTTTCATAATAGCAGAGCTGAAAAAGCATTTTCAGAGATGGCAACTTTTGACATCTTTCTGAGCTGATACTGCAAACAAATCCTTGGGGCTGGTGCTGTAGCAAAAGAGGCAAGGAGCAAGAGAGGTGCCCAGGAAGGCGCTGCCGTCTGTTGAATGAGCTTCTGTTGCAGCAGGGAGGGTGCAAGTGTTCCAGCTGCATAAGCGCTGGATGAAGAAGTGCTTAAGTTCTCGCACAAACGTTTCTCCTTTCTGGAACCACTCCCAAGCCCCCATAGGACAGCTCTGCAGTGAGCACTGGTTCTGGTTTGGTCCACAACTGCCAAATAAAAGGGGCATGAGCTCAATCCCCCCCCCCCGTCCGTGAATAAGACACTTAGCTTTCCCCAGGGATCCAGCTTGTAACCTAGAAGAATAGGGCACTCCAGATGTTGCCAGACCATGGACTGTGGCCAACATAGTCACTGGTCAGGGATGACGGGCATTGGTCCAACAGTAGTTAGTAGGTTACAAGTGCCCCATCCCACTATCCTGGGTTCAATCTTAGAATTGTCAATATCAGTGAAGCAGAAATATCTTTAAAAAGGGGAAAACAGCACATCAGTTAGCCCAAAAAGGGGGGGGGGGACACAGACAATAAACACATCAAACCCCCTCCCCCAGAAACCCAACAGAAAATCCACATATTGATTGCAGAAAATCAATTCTGGAAGATGCAGTGTCCAGAAATACATTTTTTCTTTTTTCTTTTTATTAAAACACTGTTCAGAATTAGTTAAAACACTTTTGAGGTACAGTGAATAAAATACAACTTCTAAGTTGTAAAGCAGGGTCATCGCAGCTTGGCAACGGGGGGGCGGTGCCCTCCAGCCCCAAGCATGTCCTTCAAAACTTTTAAAAGCAACTTCTTTGAATGAGAAAAAGTATGTGTCTGTGTTTGTTTGTTAAATAATAAATCAATGGTCTTTTGCAAAAGGAGCCCCTTCAATAGGCAGCCACAGGCGCTGTGCCACTGAAAGTTAAGATCCAAAGCCGGACCATGAAAGGAAGACTCTTCAGGGGTGTCTGTTGGGTTTGCTTTGCCTTTTAACGCTCTCCCCCCCCCCCCGATGCTGGGCTCCCCCAGAGGCCTGCAGTGGAGCTGGAATATTCCTCTGTGGAGCAGCCACAGTACTTTGTCAAAGGATGGTTTCTCGACAGACTCCGATTAAACTGTGTGGTCTCTCTAAGCTGGGGCCAATGTGGGGCCTGCGTGACAAGGCCACCGGAGAGCTCAGTGCCCCACAGCTCTGCAGGTGGAGGTCTTCCTGGAGCCGTTTTCTTGAGGTATCCACATTCTGTCGGGAGCTCATGATCACCTGTAGAGAAAGAGGAGAGGCACAAGTTGAGAGCAAGGAGGAAAGCGAGACACAGAGCAGAGCCAGAGGTGGGCAGACTGCAGACTTCTGGGACGGAAGGTTACGTTACTTTTTCCTTTATTCATATTCTGCCTTTTGGACCCACAAAAACACTAAGAGACAGCAAGAAAAAGTACTTAAACAGAAGCTCCGCCTTTTAGGGGTCTGAGGCAAGGGCTGGAATAGCTTGCCCCTGATGGTTCCAGCAGGCGCTTGTAGCAAAATTTGCTGCTGCTTTTTAAAAAGCTAGAACCCTGAAAGCCACCGCCTGGTGCAAAGTGGGGGGGGGGGGTATCTGGGTGGTGGTGGTGGAGCCGGATGCAGAATCGCGGTTCAAGGAGTCAAGCCAGTTACCCGCTGGCACTCTGTGGGGTGCACCGTGGGACGACCTGCACCCCCAAATTACCTCTGAGTCACTATAGATCACAGATTTGTGATCTTTATTCCCTAGCCAGGAGCCCATCACAAAATCGTACAAGTGTAAAAAAATAAAAAGTACACCGAACAAAACATAATGAAAACAGAGAACATAATCTGGTGCAACATCCAACATCTTAGGAAGGTAGGAAACTGGATGGTGACGAACTACAATTCCCATCAGCCCCAGCGAGTGTGGCCAATGGCCAGGGATGATGGAAGTTCTTTTCTCACCTTCATTTCAGTTCCCCACCTACTTTGTTTGCCTTGTGTTCTCTGAGATGGTGGCAAACCCTCCCCCCAATTTCTCCCTGTCAGTTTACTTCTTCCATGCCTTCCAGCCTGTTTTTCCTCATTCTGCCAGCCCTGCCTTTCTACATCCTACTCTCCTCTAGTGTGTGTTTCTCTCTGTGTGAATCTGCCAGCCCACTTGAAGATGCAGGTCCCCCCGTCCCCCCCGGGCTGAGTCCCTGCCTTCCTGCCTGCATGAAGCTTCTTGTTGAGTTTGTGACTGCTTGGCTGATAGTGTGGATGTGCGTCTATGAGTCCCTGTGTCTGCCTGCCTGCCTTCTCCTATGCCCGCCCCCCACCTCTGCTTTGCTGGCCTGTTTGGTACCATCTGGCCACATCTGTAATGTTGGCACTGCCATGCAAAAGGGGCTGGGCATTCCGCACATGTACATGGAATCTGCATCCACTTTGATACTGAGCTCAAAGCAACCTAACTGTGACTAGTTTTGATATCAAATTTGAAAGTAGCAATTTCGCAGAGATCCCTAATCTGGAGGGTGTCGGCTGCCCTCTGCCTGCCCTGGCCATTGCCTTCGGTCTGTTGTTCCCCAGTGACTGGTATCCAGCAGCAAACTGCCATGGAACAAGGAGATTCTACCATGGCCGTCGTTACCCAAACCGAAACGTCAAAGCTGCCAACCTGGTCAATGATGTTTGCACTGAAGATGGCTTCTTCCATGTGCCGCTCGTCAGACTTGATGACCGACCGGATGCTGTTCACCACATGACGCACCTCCGGGGGAAGGTTGCAGTTCGAGTGCTCCAAAAACTTGGCCACCAGGATCTTCGTGTCCTTGTAGGCTTGCAGGTCCACCAGAGAGTGGGGACGCTCCTTGCAGATGGTCTGGAAGGCCTTTGGCTTCCAGGAGCGTTCAGCCTTTTTGGGGTCCCTCAATTTCCCCACTGGATGGAGCTGGTTTCTGGAGTCCTGATAAGTAGAGGCAGCCACGTGAGGGCCAGAGGCAGGAACTAAAACCGAACGGGAAGGAGAAATGTTATGAAGGCGGTGGGGAGAAACAGCGCTAATTTCCATGGAGGCGCAAGTTACAGCAACAGCCAAGGCGACATTTTTCCACCTTCGCCGCATCAAGCAGTTGGTCCCTTACCTTTCCCGCCCTGACCTGGCCACAGTGATCCATGCGACGGTCATCTCCAGGCTTGACTACTGTAATTCGCTCTACGCAGGGCTGCCCTTGAAGCTGACCCAGAAACTCCAGAGGGTGCAGAATGCTGCAGCGAGGCTCCTCACGGGGTCTCTGCCATGGGAGCATATTCACCCAGTGCTTTTCAAGCTGCACTGGCTCCCGGTGGAGTACAGGGTCAGATTTAAGGTGCTGCTTTTGACCTTTAAAGCCCTTCACGGCCTAGGACTCTCGTACCTACGGGACCGCCTCTCCCAGTCTGCCCCACGGAGAGCCTCAAGGTCCATAAACAGCAACACCCTAGAGGTCCCAGGCCCTAAGGAAGTTAGATTGGCTTCAACCAGAGCCAGGGCCTTTTCAACTCTGGCTCCGGCCTGGTGGAACGCTCTGCCTCATGAGACCAGGGCCCTGCAGGATCTGATTTCTTTCCGCAGAGCCTGTAAGACAGAGTTGTTCCGCCTGGCCTTTGGCTAGGAGCCAATTTGATTCCGTCCCTCTCTTTTTTTTTCCTTCTCCTCCTGCGATGAGGCTACATTTTAATATTTTAATATTTCAATATTTTAATGTTGTATTTTAATTTTGTTTTTAAGTTGTAATCATTCAACTTGTTTTTATTATTGCTTGTAAGCCGCTCTGAGCCCGGCCTTGGCTGGGGAGGGTGGGGTATAAATAAATAAAAAATTATTATTATGATGATTAATTCAGACACAAGGCCCACAGCGCGTTCAGTGGGCCATTGGTACCACCACCAGTGCCTATAGACAGAGCCAGCCCACTCATGAGACAGATGGAAGCAGCTGCTGTGGGCAGCAGAATCCAGGGTGTGTGTGCGTGCTCCTGCTGGCGGGCTTGAGCTCTCCTGAGCTCTCCTGGGACTTTGTGAGCTCTCGCTGCAAGCTCGTAAGCGAGGCTTTGGCAGGGTTGGGGGCAGTTGGGCAGCACCTTCCCATTTCCCCTGAGGCAGCAAAATGAGACAGGCACACCCCTGGCTGTATACATCATTGTTCGGATATTATAAGAATTGTTCTGATTGTTCAATGCCTGCCCTGTCATGATCAGTCAGCTCTCTAGGCCTCTTTGTGTACTACTCATGCAAAGGGGGCACCACATGGGGGGAAAGCTGTGGCCTTCTGCCAGTGGTCCATCCCCTGGTATCACACATTGCATACAATATAGGCATATATAAGAGAAATGCACACTAAATGCTGAGGCTAACTTGATAACAGAAAGAAAATGAGCCTTCAGTGTCATTGGTCCAGTCCTGTGGAATGCTCTGCCACTGGATATTCAGCAGGCACCTTCTGTGCCGACTTTTAAATACTGGCTGAAAAGTTTTCTTTTCTGCCAGGTCTATGCAGCCAATTAAGAATACATCCTTTTAATATGATTTTTAATATGGTTTTTACTGTATGGTTTTATGTATTTTTGCTGGAAACCAGTTTGATATTTTTAATGAAATAGTTGTCTATTAAATATTTTTATAAATTAATGAACAAAATGCTGACAATATTTAAAAAAATGCTAACTGATGCATTAGTGGCAAACTGAACTTTAAATGGAAAAATGAAAAACAGAAGAGAATGCAGTGTTGACAGGTGTGTTCACCCCACAGTCCAACAACATCTGGAAATGTTATGTTTGTTTGTTTAATTTATAACATTTAGATGCCACCTTTCCTCCAAGGAGCTCAAGGGAGCACACATCTTTCTTCTCCTCCCCACTTTTGTCCCCAGAACAACCTTGTGGGGTAGGTTAGGCTGAGAGGGAGTGACTGGCCAAAATCCCCCTGGTGAGCAACACGCCTGAGGGGGGACTCAAACCCTGATCTCCCAGGTCCTAGTCTGGCACTCTAACCACTACACCGCCACTGGCTCTGTTGACCAGTATCTCAGCAGGCGACACTCACCTTCCGTGGCAGACGCACATGACAGAGGGTCGCTAGTGGATCGGACTATGCTGGAAATCCTGGTTTTCCTCGTGCGCTGTTGGACCATCCTCTCTGGGCAGCTGTGGGGCAAACTGTTTGCAGGCACTGAGCAATGGGCATGGTGAGTCTGTGGCCCAGCGGGTGGGATGAAGACCCCGCAACACATCTTCCGTGGCTTCTGAGGGGGTGTGGTTTTGCATTCTCTGACTGAGCTGCGTGAATCTCTCCTGGAGGCAGTGAAGTTCTCTGAGGAACAGTCTGAGGAGCGACTACGGGAGCAGGTCTCGGGCTCCTGGCCACGAGACCCATTCACAGAGGTCTGGCTGGCCTCGTCGCCTGGGGAACCCTGGGAGCGAGTCCTATGCAGCCCACAATGGATGCTGTAGTCTAAGCTGGAGCAGCTCCTATTTATGGCACCTTTGTGGGTTGCTTCGTATGAAGAGAAGTCCGTGGAAAGGAGGGACTCCTGGACTTCCAGGGAACAGAGGTCCTCTGAGGAGTAGCTGAGGTGCTCAGGGGTGTCAGCTGCTTCAGAGGCCACGTGGGAAGTGCTGTCTGCCGAGGCTGCAAAACAGAGCCGAGTCAGAAACTGCTGCAGTGCCACTATTGAGCACAGGCCAACCTGGTTTTATGATACCATCAAAAATGCAAAGGGAGAATGAAATGAACATAGTGGTGTCATAAAGTGCCAACCTGGTTTAAATCAGCTGCACTGGTTGCCAGTTCATTTCCCGGCTCAATTCAAGGTGCTCAGACTTAAAGCCCTAAATATTCAGGCCCCAAATATCTGAAAGACCCCCTTCTTTGCTAAAGACCCTTTCAGGTGCTGAGCTCAGCAGAGAGGGGTCCTCTTGGTAGTTCCTCTGTCCTCATAGGTTCAGGGGGTGGCAACCCAGGAGAGCCTTCTCTGCGGTGGCCCCTACGTTGCGGAACTCCCTCCCCACAGAAGTGCACCTGACACCTATATTAAACAGCTTTCAGAGAATGCTGCAGCTGCACCTCTTTACCCCTGCCCTTATATTTTTTGGACCCACCTGCCTTTTGACTGTAAGTTGTTTTAAATTGTTTTTAAATTGTGTTTTAATGCTGTAACCCACCCTGGGACCCTGGGCTGAAGGTACTGCAACACTCTTGATCATTATGTTTCTCATGTAGCCCTGAATCCTGAAGCCTGTGCTCTAACACCCTTGTTGCTTTGGGTGATTCACTTGTTTTCAGATAAACTTCCCAGATTTCTTAAATTCTTGGGAAACTCTTCTATTTTCCTTCATTTGTCTAGTGGTGTTCTTCCTACAAGCAACTCTCCATGTCCTCTTCTAAGAAAAACTCCAAGGAAGGTTAAATGAAATTTTCCCATATTTGGAGCTGGCTGGCATGTGCAGGCACATCCTTTGATGAGCGCAAGATAAAGCAATGAGTCCCACACACGAATGGACTGGTGCAGATCTAATGCAGCACTGAACATCTCTTAATTGCCTCTGATTTTGTGATTTCAGCTGCCAGGTACAGTATCATCATCATCATCATGTTATTTGTACGCTGCCTTTCCATGGTTAAAACCAGAGCTTTTTTCCAGGGGCCACTCAAGGGCATGCAGTACCAGCACCTTTTTTGTGGTTGTCAAAAAGTGTGGCACTCACTCTGACAACTTCATGGTGAGTACAGGCACCTATTTTTCTAGGAAAAAAGCACTGGTTCAAACCATGGTCAAGGCAGTTTACAACATGAAAAGATTTACATAATTACAAAACATTACAAAAATGGTCATAAACAATAAATAAAACACTTCAGAAAGTACACAGCCAAATTGAACAATGGCCACATAAATCACAATAAGATCTAAAAATAAAGATACAAAAAATTAATATTGACAACACCCCAGCCCAAGTGTCTGCTCAGCAGCCTCAGCTTTTGCAGCTGGAGTCAGTATGGGCCCGCCTTCCCCAGGCCAGGTGGAAAAGCCCTACAAGGCAGGGAGCAGGTCTTCCCGGAGTCACAGCCAAGGTGGCCTGTGGTCACAAGTACAGGCATCAAAGTGGGCATGAGCCCCGTGCCAATGAATGAGCAGTGCATAGAGCACCTTGGCTGCTGAAGCCTGCTGTGGTGTTTCTCTCACCCAGACTGGGCTCTGTGACTTGCTGGTCCACAGCGGTGACCTGTGAATAGCAAAGCAAAGCAAAGAAAATCAGGAGCGGAAGCTAATGGAACCAGAGCATTCATCATCAAAGAAATCACTTGAGATTTAGCTGCTCACAGCCCAGTCTTGTGCATGTTGATTTGGAAGTCCCATGGAGCTATGCTGGATCCTGAACCAGCATCTCTGCGGTCATATGCTGACATCAGACCCCGTCCCTGTGCCATCTCCAGGCCGATGGAGCATGCTCCGCAGGGATCTCACTGCTCCATTGAGCCCTAAGGGGCAGACCTGACTTGTACTCAGAATTCCAGTCCAAGATGGTGAACATGGAAGCAGGAGAGTCTTTGATCCAGTAGGCTTTTGCCTCTGGTACTACCCACTGTTGGCCTGTGGCAGGAAAAAAGGGGAAAAGTTGCCCATCCCTGCTTAGGTTGCTGCTTGCCATCTGAGGAAAGGGCAGTAGCTCACTGGGAGAGCATCTGCTTTGCATGCAGAAGGTCCCAGATTCAATCCCTGTCTAACTCTTCCTGAAGAAGAGTTGTTTCTGATCATGTGCTTTATACTTGCTCCCCATTTGCATGGAATTGCATTAGCCTTCCTCAAACTGTCACCCCCCCCAAACTCCCAAAATGCCTGAGCACTGGTCATGCTGGCTGAGACTGATAAAAGCTGGGTTGGGCAGGTTGGGCACAGATGAAGAGTGATCAGATCCTGAATTCCTTGAACCCTTCTATCCCAGCTTGATCACTGAGATCACCAGCAGGAGTGTCGTTGGTCATTCCCTGAGCTGGCTCAATGGACAATCAGAAATGGAGCCTTTAGTGTCATCGGCCCAATCCTGAGATTCAGCACACCTTCTGGGGCAAGTTTCAAAGGCTTCCTGACTATGCAGGCCATGAAGAAGACATCTTTCCACAATAGTTACCTGATTTCTACTTTTAACTTATTTTTGATGGTTTTCGTTGTACAGTGTTATAGTTTATTGCTGTAAACCACTTGGTTTTTTTTTATTAAAAAATGACATAGCAGTATATGAATAATTTTTAAACAAACATAGAAACCAACCAACCAACAATCCTCCCCCTAGCGGTCTCTCTCACCTGATTGGCTGGGCTTTGTCCAATAACTGCTTCGTAGGGAGGGGGCAGCTCAGATGGATAGAGCATTCCAGGGCTGTTGATGGCCACCTCGTACAAAGCGCCAAAGGGTGAGTGAGGAAAGTCCAGGTGGAGCCCTCTAAACACACACACACAATGACAACAATAATCAGCAATAGAGAAAGCCATCAACAACTGCGGCTTTAACATTTAATCAACAAATCAGTTCAATCAATAAAATCAACTTTTGCTCAGATGAAAGATGTGACCTGATTAATTGGATGGCAGACATTTCTATTAAAAAATCTGATTTCTTTTTGAAGGCAACTACTTCTTAAAAGTGCAGAGGACAAGCAACCCCTTAGCAGAGGCATCCCCCTTTCACTCACCCACAGGAGGGAATGCCTCTCTCAAGATTATTCCTGCTCTGATGCATTTGGGTCATCTAAAGACAAAAGATGGCATGCTTCTTGCAAAGGCATGCCAATTTACACTGCACTCAATGAATTAACTAAATGTTGTAGGATTTATCAGCTAAGACTTGTTTTGAACTTAAGGAACAGACGTACTAAGAACATCTACAATGAATGAATGAAAATGCTCCATATTTGAACTGAGCCAGCGGCTCCCAAGAGTGCCAGCCCTGGAAGAATCCCTCTTTGCTGTCTGGGGCCTGGGACAGGGCAGCAGACCAAGAACCCTTTGCTGAGTATCAGCTCATTCATGTCTCTTGTGCGAACGGTTAGTCACAGGCTAAAGAAATCATTTACCTTTGTGCTTCTATCACAGGAGTGCATGTGTACTCGGGTGGGTAGTAGGGTGGGGGTGGAATTGGAGGGATGAACTCGTCAAAATCCAAGGTCTGGTGCCCCAAGATAGTCCCATGGGGCGTCATGCAGTCAGGGTTGGCAGAATGAGACCTCTGCGGTAGGAACTGTGTGATACAAGCAGGAGATTCAAGATGCATTAGGAATAGCACTCAGTAGGTTCTAGGAAGTTCATACAGCAGGAGAAGGCACATCAGCCGCTGGTCAGAGCAAAAGGCAAAAACACATTTCCAAAGAACGCCCGTATAGGAGTAAGGAATCGCTGCGTAATGTATGTTCAGTTCAGCATTAGAGGGAATGGTACCTCCTCCTAATTACTATGACACACAATCAGCATCATTATCTTCATCATCGTCACCCATTTATTTGTAAGCCCCTTTCCCACAAGATGTAGCTGTAGAAAAAAGCAGTTTACAAAAAGATAAAACAATAATATTATTAAGTAACATTTACAACAATAATTTAAAACATACAAAAAGTAAAAATACTACAGCAGGTTAAAATTCACAGCAGCTTTCTAAGCATCTGAGCAGACTTGTCTAAACAAGCACGTTTTGAGCTGGCACTGAAAAGAGTAGAGTGACGGCGCCTGCTTGATCTCAACAGGCAGGGAGTTCCAAAGTGTATGTGCTGCCACACTAAAAGACTGAGTTCGTACAAATGCAGAAAGGGCATTGTGAGGAACCTGTAGTAGTGCCAGTTCTGCCACATGAAGCTCTTGAGTGGGCACAAGTTGGGTAAAGGTATCTCATAGTTTAGAGACAAAGAGAGGGGAGGAGGGAGGGGGAATCTTGTCTAATCTAGTATATGTGTTAGAAAACGATTTGTCCATTTGTTCCCTACATTCAGCCACCTCTAGAGATATCATTGCCACACTCAGCACAAGGGATCCTCAGGTGGGGCAGTGGTCTTCATTGGCTTTTGAACACCATAAACCATACTACAAGTAATCCAGAATGCAGCAGCTAGACTGGTGACTGGGAGTGGCCGCCCCGAGACCACATAACACTGGTCCTGAAAGACCTACATTGGCTCCCAGTAAGTTTCCGAGCACAATTCAAAGTGTTGGTGCTGACCTTTGAAGCCCTAAACAGCTTTGGCCCAGTGGACCTGAAGGAGCGTCTCCACCCCCATCGTTCTGCCCGGACACTGAGGTCCAGAGCCGAGGGCCTTCTGGCGGTTCCCTCCCTGCGAGAAGCCAAGTTACAGGGAACCAGGCAGAGGGCCTTCTCGGTAGTGGCGCCTGCCCTTTGGAACGCCCTCCCACCAGATGTCCAAAAGAAAAACAACTACCAGACTTTCAGAAGACATCTGAAGGCAGCCCCTGTTTAGGGTAGCTTTTAATGTTTAATAGAATATTTTATTTTAATATTTTGTTGGAAGCCGCCCAGAGTGGCTGGGGAGACCCAGCCAGATGGGTGGGGTATAAATAAATTATTATTATTATTATTACTACTACTACTACTACTACTACTACTATTATTAATAGCATAAATCATGACGGCAGACCAAAACACGACTTCGGAATGACTATACCCATTTTTGGCAAAGGCTTGGCCACCTCTCGGATAGCACCTCCAAACTCAGCATGAGGGTTGCTGGGGTGCAGGTAGCAGCCTTTGTCACTAATTGGACATATCAGGACAGTGATTGACTTGGTATATCTCATATAGTATTTATAATGGGTTTTTACAGTTTTAGCTTAGAGGTGCTTTCTCCCATAAGGTATGCAGTGCTACGTAACTATTACGCCACTGTATTACTTATTTTTCTCTTTTTGTCTTTCTTAATAGTGAGTGCATGGAGCTTCCCAGGAAATTGTAGAAACCAACAATATTATGATTTTTAAATGGATAGTGTAATTTGTGAATTTTGACTTGTCACACAACAACAACAACAACAACAACTTATTATTTATACCCTGCCCATCTGGCTGAGTTTCCCCAGCCACTCTTCCGGCTTCCGACAGAGTCTTCTATCTCATCTTGGGAACGCTCATGGCAGGTTTGGTGATGATATCACAAGAGGTGACCAAACCTATACTAAACACATTTTGTGTCACACCAAAGTCACATTCTGGTCACCATCTTGATTCAAAATGGCATCCACCAGTCAAGTGATGACAACGACCACTGCCCCACCTCAGGAACCCTCACCCCAGTATCTCGAGAGCCATCCAAATACCGTATTGGCCCAAATATAAGCCACACTCCCCCCCCCCCATTCTGATCATGCAAAGTTAGAGTGTGGCTTATATCCACAACCTTATGCAACCCTGCAAGTATCACAGCTGCGGATGGAGGAATCATAAAAGGGGGCAAGTCGCCAGGCAGCCTGTGCACCGCCCCCAAACACCACTGCTGCAGCTGAAAAGTTTTTTTTGGGTGCCATGCCTCCCACCCATTACAGGATAGATCTTAGCGGGGGGGGGGGGGCAGCAGCCGAGAAGTAAGCGCGCCGCAAACCAGCTGGGAAATGGGTACGCCACACTCACGCCACTGCAGGTGGACAACCACAAGGGGAGAGCACCAGGGAAGCACGCTCATCACTTACCTGCGTCGGCAATTTTAAGGGAGCGGCTTATATTTGGGTATTGTCTTTTTTTCTTTTTACCCCTTGAATTTTAAAGGTGCAGCTTATTTGCGAGTGTGGCTTATATTCAGGCCAATATGGTACGTAAAGGACAAATTCCCCTAAAATATATAGTAGAGTCTTCCTTATCATTTTTCTCAAAGTTTGTAACTGTTTTCTCTACCTATGTAACAAAAAGGAAATAAGGACATATTTGATTTAAAAAAAGAAGAAGTTTGTGTGTGTATGTGCGCTGTCTCTGCTGTCTCCCAACATCCACTCCCTGCTCCCTAGGTAACACCTGCCATTCTTGACCTCCTCTCTCCTTGCCTCTGAGTCTTCCTGACACCAGTGGTGCCTTCAGACTGCTCACCTGGCTGCAAACCTACCTTTTACTCTTCTTCTCCTCTCTACTGTTTTGTCCGATTCCTTACCTGATTCCACAGCTTGCCTTGTCCCCAAGTCTGTCTCCACATTTTTCCCAGATGTCCCTACAACTTTGGTCCCTATCCTTCTGGGACTCAGTTCCTAGGTCCTCTGGGTCATTTGAGGCCACTATTCCCTTCCTTCTGATAGAAAAATTATGTGTGGCTGTTAAAAAGGAAGTGTTTTGTAAGATTAAGCAGCAGGAAGCGCCAATAACTTTCATCCTGCACCCTAATATTGCATTCCTATTTCTAGAGCTCTGAAATTAAATCCCCATGAAAGTGTTATAAGAGTTATAAATCCTCCACATTTTTTGTGAACCAAGCCTCTGGATCCCTGATATATATTCTGAATTTAAGTGTTGGAAGTCCAGTCTCTCTGGGAATTATGAGGCAGCTGAACAGATTGTTGGCCCTTGGCTTGATTTCTGGCTGACAGAGGTTTCAGGAAGGCAACAAATTTCTGCCTGTGTCAGGGTTTTGCTTGAGCCTAAGAGTTTTGGGTAGGGTGCAGGCTGTGGATTGCCTTTGAATGAACAGTGCACAGATAATTCCTGTGCCTGAACACAACACGGACCTATTGACTCCCAGGCAGAGAGAGGCCTTTGC